GTTGCAGGATGGCAACAAAAAAAATCTATTCCTCAAAGAAAGAGGCAAAGGGCAGAAGTTGGCCAATCCTCACAGCAGCCTGCTGAACTTATTGATGAACAGCAACAATCACCAGTTGAAACTCAAACACAAACAGAAATCATATCATGGGATAGATATAGGTTCAAAACAAGAGCCAAGGCTCAAAGATTTCTTAAATCATATCATGGGATAGATATAGGTTCAAAACAAGAGCCAAGGCTCAAAGATTTCTTGATTTACAGGCTAGGAAATTGTTACCTGAAAGAAAAATGTCTTTAGTAGAAGGAGAGTATGGAGATTTTATGCAAGAGATTAGAGAAGAAAGTGGGAATTCTTGGCCAATCTCCCCAACCACATTCATGACGTAATCGTGAAGGAATTTTATGCAAATGCGTGGCCTTTGATACCAGATAAGTCAGAAAGAAGGTCTTGGGTTCGAAGACATGTAGTTATGTATGATATAGATGCAATTTTAGCTTTGTTAGGCAACCCTCTTACCTTAGAACAAGGAGAGCTATGCCAATACCAGCAACGCCAGAAGCGATTCTCAGGTTTTATGGATAATAGGGTAGCTAAAGTCTTATGCATCCTTAGAAAGTCCTATGAAACAAATGCAACTGGGAAGCCACTAAGATTCAAGAGATAATCTTTGAATACTTTGGCTCAAATTTGGTCATCCTTCCTCTTTGCCAACATAGCCCCAACTACACACACCTCAAATATTTGGATGCCTCGAGCATATCTCATATACAACATCATGCAAGGGATATCCATTGACATAGCAGCAATCATTTCAGATGAGCTGCACCAATTTGTGATCTCCAACGTATCCAGTACTGCATCAGCTACAAAACCTTTGGGATTTCCAGCACTCATCACTGCCTTATGTGCTTCCCAAGGCGTCACCATTCCAGATTGCTCCACTCAAACTATTAGTTTGAAGAAACCAATCAATTCCCAGTTCATAAAAAATTACTGCATCAATCCATTAGAACAATCTACAGGACCTTCATCTTAACCCTCATCATCTGTGCCACCTGCATCACAGCCAAGACAACCACGAACACAACCATTCATGCCTAACATGCCACAAACGGATTCAAGTATTCTACACCATCTGAATCACATAGAGCAACAATTGGCAGCAAATAATCGCACTTACACTCAGCTAAATAAGTCCTTCTACAGGTCAGCTCTTCTCTCATTTAATATTTTAAAATATCTAATCATATATGCAACACATTACCCTGATCTTCTGAATTCCACAGGTTCACGTTACATCAACATCCATGGTGAGACATCAACTTTCCTATGGCCCACACCAGAGCTTTTTGCAGCAGCTGTATCATGACCTGGAAACAACCCTACCTTTTCACCTGAAGAAGAAACTCTACAGGATCATGTGTCACAACCACACGAAGAAGTGTTTGATGACATTCAGAACAATGATGACACTGAAAGGAGAGATGTAGAACAAAGTCAACACTTAGAGGAAGAAGGGGGACATAATGAGGGAGATGAGCTACAACCCATGGAAGATGAGGATGAGGATAATGTAGGAGTTGGAGACCCATGATTACAATTAGGATTACATTATATTTTAATGGATTTTAGTAATTAAACATTTTCTGTTATGTAATGGATTTTAGTTTTAGTTTTCCAATGTCCATAGTTTTCATTGTTAGATTTTAATATTTATCTAAAATGGTGCTTATATTATAAACTCTTTTGGATGATACCAATGCTTCAATACTTTATGCAATTGCCAATACTTCTTCTGTACCTGGGCTAAATATGTATTTATAAACTCTTTTTCTATGTAAGATGTGGGTTGAAATGGTATTATGTAATATAGTCAACTGTACTTGACTCCTCTTGCATGCTGTCTGTGTCTGCATAATTTTTTCAAATTCTGATATATTCGCTTAAGCGGATCTGTATTCGCTGAGAAATTCAATCTGGGCTCAAGCCCTACAACTATTCACTTAAGCCAATTCAAATTCGTTTAAGCCATTTTCTATATCTAAATCATTGCTCTTTGCCTAAAATTTGCTTAATATTAATTAAAATTGCTTGTCAAGGCTTAAGCGAATTTATAATAGTTTAAGCGATTTAGGTTCCGCTTAAACGAAAAGAGTGCTTGAAATACATGCCTCTTTGGTCTATTTTCGCATAGTTTTAATTGTTTTCGCTTGAAAGGAGTTAAGCTAAATTAAAATCGCTTAAGCAAAATTAGGAGCTTAAGTGAGACATGATTTTGCTTTCTTGTGACTCGCTTGGACGCGCTGTCAAGCCCTTTTTCTATTGGCTTAAGCCTTTTTTCAAGTTTAAGTGAATTTACTACCAATTTTGCTTAAGCGAAAACGCACTGCGCTCCCTGTAATTTCTGCCAACACTGTAGAGGATCCAGATCCATTAACTTAACACTTATGACCATGAGATGCCTTTCACCTTGAATCGCATCACTTACAATTCTGGCGGGAGAAAATTAAAAGCATAGCCAGTCAATTAAAGTTGTCGGGTAGTTAAAAATAAAACTAATTAAAAAAATAACGGCATCACATCAAAACTCATAATTTTTCTGAAATAATCAATTATAAACATGTTGTCAGTATCTTTTAACATCCCGACAATGCATGTTATGCATCCAGTGAACACATCACTTCATCAATCGTTACCTTATTATTATGGCAAAAATTTCCACTATAATGTTTTTAGAACTACTCTTATGAAATAAAAAAAAAACTAGCTTGGTTCTTTCAATTTTGAGAAGTATATTTCAAATGTGTATAAAAAAATAAAAGAAATACATATAATTATGTATAATATTAAATATAATATCCATTATTTAACTTTAAATATAATATCCACTATTTCGTTATTTAATTTGTATAAATTAAATGATCAAATGATAAACATGTGACGTTCAGAGGTTTTTATTCTAATATTCTCTGTCCATTAACCTAAGTTCACTGTACGGACACAGTTACTGTCCAGTTAAAAGTGAGAAGCTCATATGAAGTATTATTTTGGTGAAAAATGCCATAATACATCTTTAGACGAGAAAGATAATATACAATAAATTATAATGTCAGCGCACGTTTAGTTTAAAGTTAGATAATTTTTTTTAATTATAATTAAGATGATTGTTAAAATAATTTTATTTAGGTATATATATATATATATGATTAACACGTGTTTCATTAAAAAGAGTATGATATGTAAAATTTTAATTTAGAAATAATCAGAGCTTAACGAATGTAAACAAAATGTATAAGAGGGTTTGGTGAAAAGGGAGAAACAGAGCTCACGAGAACCCTCAAGCATGGAAAAGCTAATTTCATGGAGTTGTACGCTTTGGTTTCACGGATGGTGAATTACAGTAGGTGGGTGAATCATGGATGGTCCATGTTCTGAACTGTGGAAATCAAATACTAGGGAGCTTTGGTAAAGAATTGGATGAAAATATTAAATGAAAAGTGTGTGGGTTTGATATGCTGAAAATATTAAATGCATTCAATGTATTCTTTCTCAATAATTTGGACGAATATTAAGAAGGTTCCTAATTAAATCCTAAAGAGCTATGCGCAACGGCTAGCATGAATTTAGCCTTTAAATCGCAGACAAAGAGTTATGAGGCTCATTGAGGTTCGTTTTGTGCTGGAATTGAGCATTAAAAGGTCTTTATCTCGCATGCATGGAGTTATCACCAATCATAAACAACCTAAAATAACACACAAAATCAAATCCCTCAACACCCGATCAACCGTCTCCATCACATGCATGCATTGTGTTTGTGGTTGTTTAAGATTCTCTATCAACCATGAGCTCATCTTATCGTTTAGATTATGAGGGAAAAACATGAAATCAACAGGGATATGCAAGAGGGAGGGACAGGGGATCGCATAATGCATATGGTTTTTGCTTATTTGTCTATCTTTTGCATAAAACAAGAAGGTAACATTCATGAGGACCATTAAAGTCATACATTTTGGCATAATAATAGTGAGGTACTTAGAAACGAAGCTTTTCTATAATGCTTTTTTCGAATATCATTCTCAAAGATCCTTGGATATTATAACCTGCTTTCCACGTGTCATTACTTGAATGATTGGCGGCATGTTCTGCGTTTCATCACCGGCCTTGTAACATGGATCAATTGTGTAAAACGAATATTCACGTTGGAGCATGCTGTGGTTGGATGGGACATTATTCGAAGCTATCGCCGCGGCGTGCTGCTGATTTATACGATGTTCTTGGCCGCCACCTTAAATTTTTAAAGCCTGTTCGTTTTAACGTTTTGGCCCCTCCAAATTTGATTATTGGAAATCACTAGAGATTGTAAGACACTCACTTTCCAACGACGGAAATTAGCAATGGAAAACAAGTTTCACACGCTCATTAACAGTGCTTTATTAAAAAATCCAACTACTACCAAACAATGCATTTTGACAAAGCTGCGATGCGAGAATAATTATGCTTCTAATTCCCTGTGTAGCCCAAGGGACACCCTAGTAATCCCAATTCCACTATCCCAGGGCAAACCTCGCTTTTTCAATCGAAAAGAAAACTTTACTGATAAAGTTAAATCATCCACCACTACAGCGGATCAAAGTGATTATTACGCCAGTGGACATAACGTCTTGTATATTTATGACTTTTTTTATTGTATATTTATGAATACATGATAAAAAGTTCAAAATATATTTTTATTAATATATTATATATAAAAAACATTCAATTAAATCATACTGCACACACACGGACAATCCATACACTATTTTTTTTTCAATCAAACAAGATAAGTGCTGATTTATTTCACCGATATAGAATATATTTAAAAAAAAATAAAAGAAAGAAAACAGAAACAGTGAAGAAGCAATTGGGAAGAAAAGGAGGAGGATGATCTCTTCCTCTCCTACCCCACCCAACCATCATAATTAACTGCGCTCACTCACTGTTTAAATGATGAATGATGGGAGCACCCACCGCCTTTCCACACCTCATTATTTATTCTCTCTACTTTCTCCCTCTCCCTCACACACTTCAATGGAAACCCTCCTCTTCCTAACCTTCTTCTCCTTCGCTCTCTCTTTCTCTCTCTCCACCGCTACATTCCCCTTCCAAACCCAAACATTGCCCCTTCACTCTCTCCCTCACGCACCAACCCTCTCATGGCCCCAGTCCGAACCACTCTCAGAACCCGACCCAACGGAAGCCGAACCCGAAGCTATCTCGCTTCACCTGCACCACATAGATACTCTCTCATACAACACAACCCCAGAGCAGCTCTTCAACTTGAGACTCCAACGAGACGCAGCAAGAGTAGAAGCCCTCACACTCGCAGCTCTCAACCAGACACACGCGCGCAGATCCGGCTCCAGTTTCAGCAGCTCCATTATATCAGGTCTAGCTCAGGGTAGCGGCGAGTACTTCACGCGCATAGGGGTAGGCACGCCCGCCAAGTATGTCTACATGGTGCTCGACACCGGAAGTGACGTCGTTTGGCTCCAATGCGCGCCGTGCCGAAAATGCTACTCCCAGACCGACCCTGTTTTTGACCCCACGAAATCCAGAACCTACGCCGGAATCCCCTGTGGGGCACCGCTCTGCCGTAGATTGGACTCTCCCGGCTGCAACAAGAAGAAGGTTTGCCAGTACCAGGTTTCTTACGGAGACGGTTCCTTCACGTTTGGTGATTTCTCCACCGAAACCCTGACGTTTCGAAGGAGCAGAGTGGCGCGCGTCGCACTAGGCTGTGGCCACGACAACGAAGGCCTCTTCATTGGGGCTGCCGGTCTGTTGGGCCTGGGCCGCGGGAGATTATCGTTTCCGGTCCAAACCGGGCGCCGGTTCAACCAGAAATTCTCTTATTGTCTCGTCGACCGATCAGCTTCGGCCAAACCTTCTTCCGTTGTTTTCGGCGAATCCGCCGTTTCCCGAACCGCCCGGTTCACTCCGCTCCTCAGAAACCCTAAGCTCGACACCTTCTACTACGTTGAACTTCTCGGGATCAGTGTCGGCGGTGCGCCGGTTCGCGGCCTCTCTGCCTCTCTCTTTCGCCTCGACCCCGCCGGGAACGGTGGCGTCATCATTGACTCGGGTACGTCTGTGACCCGACTCACCCGCCCCGCATACATTGCACTGAGAGACGCTTTTCGCGTCGGGGCCTCGCATCTGAAGCAAGCGCCGGAGTTCTCGCTGTTTGACACGTGCTTCGATTTGTCGGGGCTGACGGAGGTCAAGGTGCCGACGGTGGTGCTGCATTTCCGGGGTGCGGACGTGTCGCTGCCGGCGACGAACTACTTGATTCCGGTGGATAGCAGTGGGAGCTTCTGCTTCGCTTTCGCCGGAACTATGAGCGGGTTGTCCATAATTGGGAACATCCAGCAACAAGGGTTCCGGGTGGTGTACGACTTGGCGGGTTCTCGGGTCGGATTTGCCCCTAGAGGGTGCGTTTGAATCTCGGGGAACAACTCTTTCCCTTGTTTTCCAATTATTAATTATTATTGGCATCTTTTTTATTATTATTTAAAAGCTTTTTAAGAAAAGGCTAGATTAGAGGTGGAAGATGAAATATTAATGTATCTTTCTTTGTAGATCTGAAGGAGGAACAAAATGAGAATGTTCCTAGTTTCTACCCTTCAGGTGTCGTTTGTTGTGTTCCTTATTTCCACATTAAATACTACAACTACTCCAATCCAATCCAACTCGATTAATTCACCCATTTTAATCCTTCGCTTGCTTGTACTCCTGTCCCATATTGGTACATCTTCGCCATTTTCTTGTCTTCTCATTTTTCAAGTTTTTATGAATAACATTATCAACACAATCATAAGATTTCTTGCAATTTCACATTTGCAGTCTTGCTCCATCATATATCCCCCCGCTTTTCTATGCTGCTACTAATCACGATTACTGCGATTAAACGTTCTTCTTACTATTCCCGTCAAAGACAAAGTGACGGTTATGCATCTAATTTTGATTCATTGAACCGGTTATAATTGCTTTTGAAAACTTATCATTCCCATTACAAAATTGATTGATACAGAATCTCGCGAAGGAAACAGATGATGTTACTACAGGATGAATTCGGGGATCGCCATCCACGTACGGAATCACTGTCATTTTCTCGATTCGTGGTTTTGTACGGAGATGACTATCTCGTGATATAATAATAACAATTTTAATTTTATATTATTTTATCTCTCCTTTTGTTAGACGTAAAATATACAAATTAGTAATTTCTTCTTTTAAGTTCAAGGCCAAGAGAGATCCAAACAATCAAAAGTAACAAAAGTATATATCAGAGATAAAACGATTAAAATAAGTTGGATTTAAGAATTGCGTAAATGTAGTCTTTTAAATAACAATAATTTACCCTTATTCTCCTCTAAAGACCACGTTCGGTCAAAATTTATGCCATGTAACGTGTATCATGATTCAATTGGAAATCAAATACATACTTAGTGATGTGAAAAGTAATTCAGCCATTAAATGAATTGATTTTGATGACAATGAGAGCTTTTAACTTGTTTTTAAAAAGTGTTTAAAGGTGAAATCGATATAAGTGTGAGAGAATAGATTTAAGTTTAGGAAGCATTTAAACCGTCTTGACAATTTAAGTCTGAATGCGAATCCGTTTGAAGACAAACGAATCAAATTTTGTAAAAATAATTTTAAAAAGGGGTACTTTCATCCAAATTACTTACAATTTTAATTCATTTTAACTTAGTTGTTACTATAATTTTATCGCATGCTTGATTGTTTGAGATTTGGATTTTAAATTTTAACTATGACCTATCATTTATTTTTCTAAAAAGACTTAAGTTATTTAAATTCATAACTCTCTTGTTTATATGTTCTTTATTTTGTTGTTAACTCATTAAAGTGAAAGTTTTATTACCCAACAAGTTAAATTTCAATGTAAGGCTCAACTTGTATATATTATTCACACTCTAACATTAACTGTACTTTACTAAAATTAAAAAAACAAATAATTCACTCTTAGAATATCTTATCAATAAACTTTTTACCTTAATTCCTTTAAATTTTTTAAAACCAAACTTTTGAAAGTCAAATATCCAAAATATAATACAAAGATGTGCCAAATCAATAAGCAAACCGGATTTAATAACATGGGATACGCAATTGGAACTATTTGAAATTTGGATTCCCTTTCCATGTTGTTGTACACCTAAATTTGTTACAAGTCTCTTCTTTACCAGCCTAACACCTGAAGAGTGCAATGTGTGTAAGCAACCTTATCTTTTGTTCCCATCGCCTATGATTCACATAAAACTTTTGTTGATGCAGGCAGGGCACATGGTCTGTGCCTTAGTTCCGAAATGCCCATATTGCACATGCCAGAAACAGTAGGTCAAAATATGCAAGGTCCAACCAGCTCATGCTTAAAAATTAATAGGTAACAGACAAATGGAGAAAATTGTAAAAAATGTTAGTAGGAGTTAACTTTGGAAAGAGAAAAGCATTAGGCTCTTTTCCACGTTGTTGGAGTCTAGCTGTTAAAGATAGATTATAAAGTGGAGATCGATGGCACAATCACACTAACCCACGGCAACCTGCTTTTGAAAATCACCATGACGAGTTGACGACGGATGTCAAGACACAAGGAACCTAATGCTGTCCTTAGAAATTGCACTTGGCTACCTGGCTAGATCTAGTTTGAGTGTATAAACTTTCTTAATGGGATAATCATGTGTGTTACTACCTCTGATTCTTTTTTTATAAGAAATAAAATCAAACATTTTTTTATTTTTTATTATAAAAAATATTAATTATTAAATTTTTTTATACTTTTTATTTATTAGTATTATTAATTATACAAATTATTAACTACAATAATATTTTTAGAATAAAGTTTATATTTATAAAAAATATAAGTAATTTAATTATTTTCATTGACCTGAATATTTAGTCTTTTACTTTTTATAAAAAATACCGGAGGTAATATTTAAAAGAGAGAGTTATATCAATAGAAAATATGCACGTGTAATTTAAAAAAAAAAATTTATTATTTTAACCTTAAGTTTATGTAATCAAAATTAATTATCTTTATTAAAAAACAATGCCTTTATTACGTTAAAATTATAAAAATATGATAAATATTTTTTTAAACAAAATTTTATTATTATTAGTTACGCAAATTTAATTTTAAAGATTGAAATTAATATTTTTTAGAAATTTTATACAAATAATAAAGAATTTTACTAAAATTATCAATATTTTTACATTTTTTTTTATTTTTATGACACGCTAATATGAAATGTGCTTGACTCTTATGGGAATAACATGAATTTAGATTCTCTCTTATTAGTATATGATTATGTTAATGAGAAAAAGGGCATAGTTTTTAAGAAAGGAGGATGCACATTGATTGGTTGGAATCTTGTAATGTAGTAAAATGCAAGTGTGCCAAATGCACTTCTAAATTTGCCCTTATGAGATTATTTGGGACAAGTATGTATATCACTAAATTCGTGCTATTGTTAAACTATCAATGTAATATAATGATAAAACATTAGATACTAAAACCATTATTTGGTCAAAACATAATCGTTTAGGTTTGAATTGTGAACATCATTTTACAAAATATCGTTCTTTTTAGGTCAACAAGCGTAATTTTTTAAAACGTCATCGGTAGATTGAAAGAACAAATTGAAGCAAAGCCATGCTTGGCCTTACATTCGTTACAGTGAGACCAAAAGGAATCAACAAATTTGTTGAAGTTGACGTACTTTAATATAGGTCCACCTTTAATTCATCGAACCCGGGATAGAAATTTCAATTGAAAATTGACGAATTTATAAAACCTTGTGTATCATTGACAGCACAGAAACCGTGGCCATTTATAACCAATTTATTTTATACAAATTGTTTTAAAGAATATTCCGTCATGTTCAGAGAAGCAGCTTGTGAATAGATAGACTACATATTCTTCTCCGATTTGCAGCAAGAAAAACACGATGGGCCCCAAGCATCTAAATCCTATTCCTGTCTTATTCGTCAGCTTATTAATATATTATTTGTACAAACAACTTTCAAAAACATTGAATTTGAAATTTAAAATGAAATTTACCCTCACATTGAACGTCCGTACGTTTATTCATAAGTTCCTATAATGTCATACACAATCAAGAAGTCGACATGACATGCCGATAGGTTTTGTCCTCTCCGTTCTTGAGTTCGTTCCCTCCCTAAACCCACCACCTTATTCAATTCTTCATCAATTATCGCAATTCGAATACAAGACAAAATTCATATATATTTTTTTCTTAAGTAGAGTAATGATTTTTATGTAACTTCAATTTTGAGCATACAAATATTCTGTGAATAATTCTTTTATATATATAAATTTAAGAAAAATGTTCGTTTTAGTCTTTTAAATTTATTTATCAGTATTAAGTCTTTAAAAATTTAGAATCACATTAATCTTTTAGCAATTTATCTTATCATCATTCTATTTTTTTTAAATATTTTATCATCAAATTAATCTGTATAATATTTTAGTTATCACTGAATTAGTTTCAAAATTTTTCGCTTCTTTAATATTTTATTAAAAAAATATAATAGTATTTTAAATTTTTAAGAGACTAATAGATGTTAAATCAAGTAAAATAATTATTTTAATCAATTAATTTATCTCTCTCTCTATATATATATTTATTTATATTTTGTATGTATGAAATAATAATAAATCGAGTTATGTACTGTCCAATTAATCAGTCATCTCATCTTTCTAGAGGTAACAGCGAACACTTTCAAAACGACAGCCGTTTCATCAAATGGAACCCGTCGAGGCGTAGACGTAGCGCGCAAGCAAATCGCCAGAAGGGGGAAAATTGTGAGGGCGTTTTTCAAAATCAGACAAACAAAACTGAGTTTGAGATCAGGATTTGATGGGCATGGAAGAAAGAGGGCATGAAAAGGGAACAAAGGTGGGAGCTTTGATAGAGAAGGCAACCAACTCCACCGCACCGGAGGTTAATCCCCGCCTCCTCAAGGCCATCAAGACGGTGGTCCGCTATTCCGATTCGGAGCTTCAATTCGCTACCCAAACCCTAATGGATCTCATGAAGCGTGACCACTCTCAGGTACTGTTCCCTTGGCACTTACCACGATTAGGGTTTCAATTTCTTGTCTGGTGTTTTCCAATCAGGGTTAATTAAATTATGCATCAATAAATTTCTTTTTGAATGAAAAGCTTGATTCAAATGCAATTCCTCTGCAAAAACTGAATGTTATTATGATTGTTGCTCTAAGCATGATGACACGATGAAATCTCGTTCTTTTTATTGTTATGTTCGTGGAGAAGCTTACTCTTCTAAACAATTGATTGTAGAAGGTAGCTCAACCCCTATTAACATAGTTGTGAAGAATTTATCTTTTAGATTATTGCTGTCATCTCTAGTATCAAATTCCCTGATTGACATTGACAGATATGAGTTGCAGGTTAGGTACCTTGCTCTTCTAATAATTGATGAGCTCTTCATGCGTTCCAAGCTTTTTAGGACTCTTCTTGTCGAGAACTTGGATCAGTTACTGAGTTTGAGTGTTGGGTTCAGGCGGAATTTGCCACTTCCTGCTCCTCCAGCTGTTGCATCTGTTTTGCGTTCAAAGGCCATTGAATTCTTGGAAAAGTGGAATGTGTCGTTTGGGGTTTATTACAGACAGCTGAGATTAGGTTATGATTACCTGAAGAATACCCTCAGGCTTCAATTTCCTAACATACAAGCCAATTTGGAGCGGATTCAACAAGAGAGAAGGGAAAGGGAGAGGAGGTCAAAAGACATTTTATTGAGCAAGTATGAATCTTTGAAAGAAAATTCATCTTCAATAAAGGGAGGAATACTGTCTACGATGGATGAAATTGATGAGTGTTTGGACATTTTGCATTCAAAACAGGAGTCTGTGTCAGATGATATCTTAGATAATGAAGAACATGATGAGTTTCGTTCCTTGGAGCTGCAGCAGATTCGTCTTGAATCTTTGAAAGAAGGGGAGAAAGTTTATGAGAACAGTGACAACGAGGTAGTTTTTGATGCATTGAGGGAGCTGTACAAACTTCTGGTGACAAAGCATTTCGTTTCCATCCAAGAGTGGATTTCTGTTCTAGTAAGAGTTGATCTAGCTGACACTAGATTCAGAGATTCTGCTTTGAAAGAGTTCATTGATATCCAAAATCGTCTGAAATCTGTTAAAAGTAAATGTGAAGAGGCTGGTTGTTCTCTTCTAAACAAATCAAAACTTGATGAGGAAGAAGATTTTTGGGAAGAGGGAACTGCTGTATCTATGGAAATTCCATCTAGTGTACTCAATAATAAACACAAACATCTTGATGTGGCATCAACTTCCTGTAAAATGAATAATGATAATCTTGGTTCATGTAATAAAGAATCTAATGGCTCTGATACTGACAGCATGCTTCATCAAGGAAATGAAGTTGAGTCAAATTCTCTGAGGGGTAAACTAATAGCTGAAGCTCCTGTGGTGAGATGGGGTTCTCACTTGGATGATTGGGGTTCAAAGAGGATTTTTATGGCTAACCAGCGGGGCTTGGAGCTTGAAAGTCACTGGGGAAGGGTGGAGGATGATTTGGTTATTCCTGCAGATAAAATTGCTGAATTGAGTGTTCCAGCTATGCCTTATGAAGAAAAGAAAATTGAGGTCCGACCATGCATGGCTCCTTTGAGGAAAGGGGGATTTTGCCAGAGAAGAGATCTGAAACTTTGCCCATTTCATGGACCTATCATTCCTCGGGATGATGAAGGGAGGCCACTCAATCAGAGCTCTTCAGAAGACATGAATATGGATTTAAGGACTGATTTAGTAGAGCAGTTAGCAAAACAAGCGGTCAAAAATGTTCGTGAAAGAGATCAAGAGATGGCAAAGAGGAGAGAAATTGATAAACAGTCATTGAAACGTGCAAAACTTGCTAAAATTCGGGAACACAATGAAGCAGTTTTACGGGATGCTGCTATCGCCTCAACTTCAAGATCAGCCACACTTGGAGAAGATGGGGAGGTAACTAATGAAGATAAACTGTCTGCCAGAGACAAGAAACGAGGTCTTGCATCCATGCTGCGAAAGAAAGTAACACCAAAAGATAGAATAGCTCAAAAACTTTTAAGTTCACAGGCAAGGGTTACTGCAGGTATTCAGCATATGTCATGTCAGGATGCCAAATACAGAGAAGCCTTCCCAAATCAATGGTAAACTGATATAATTTTTTGTTGAGCTCGTCTGATTACTCGAAAGTCTGAACCAAACATTCCAGAATTTTGGGTTAAACCTTGTCTGTCAGACATGAGGCTGATTAGTTAAATTGAGGGGGAAAATAACTATTCAATACTCATCTATTCATTTATTTTTCCGAATAGTTATTTCTTTGTAGGCACTATGTAGACTCATAAGGAGCAGCTGGGCCGTAAAGTATGATGGGAAGTAGCTGTCCAGTTTGTGTTTTTTACTTTACTATTTATTTGCCACATCTTTTTGTAAGATCATTCAGCATATGGAATTTGGATATTGTCATGATATTAACTTACAAGATGCAGTAATGTTGGAGAGCCAAAGTAAAGAATAACTATCAATCTTCCTACTTTTTATTCCTATATATCTCCTCCTAATTACTAAATATGTTTTATGTTATCAAAATAACAGATGCATATACTTTTTAATTTACTGAGAATATAGCAAAAAACGAAAACCTATTTATATAAATTTTTATTGAAAGACATAAGTTATAGCAGGATATAGCAAAGCTCATAATAAGAATTCATATATAATGAAGCTCATTTAATGTAATGATAAAATATTAAATGTTATATTTTTTTAGTAAAAAATTATTATTAATTAATTTCTTATTATGTGTTCTTAAATATGTATTACAAATAAATTTATTAATTTTAACCTTAAGAGATGAGTTTAAGGAATTAAAATAGTAAGTTTTTGTTAAAAAAAATGCATTGATTTTATAAAAGTTATAAAAATGTGATAAATATTTTTCTAATAAAAAATTATTATTATTAATTGTTGAAATTCAGAATTATAAGTTGAGGTTAATTTTTTCTATTAAAAAATTGATCTTCGAATGAAATGATCTAAAATCCTAGTATATGTGTTAGGTGCTAGAGGATTATAATAATTTGTTTACCATATCTGCTTTGTAAGAAGTCTTCAATCCATCAATTATTAATACCAAATGTCAAAGTAACATAAATGCACATTGGCATTGGATTTCCTCTGGGTTAAAGCTGAGTTAATGAAGTTGTGGTAGCGGTACACACTAGATCCGTGAGGTGTGGAACCCAGGAAGGAATCTTAGTTGGAAAGGCTTGTGTGATGCTTTAGCAGTCTGAAAGGTGTCATAAATGGTTTCCATTACCATTTAAGGAGGGCAGATCACCAGTTAGTCAATCGGTCTAAGTCGTTGCTGGTGGTGGTGGACCTTCATTACTAATCACCCTCTGTTGCTTTCCTCAACAATAAGACATTACTAAGAAAAGCACAACCCCCCCAATACAAATCTTGAGCTTACTCCGTCAACTACATTTCACCTTAGACCTTGTTTTCATCCGTAAATGTTTTTACATTTTTATTTTTTCTTATTTTAAAAAAAATGAGAAAAAAGAATGGGAGTAAGAAGGTGGAGCAGAGTCACGAGGAACTAGAAAAAGAAATATTCGGTTTGCCCCATTCTTTTGGCACCAAACTGAACTCTTGCTGCTAATTATCTCTTCTATGGTTATCATTTGTGGCTCGGAGGGAAACTTTTGGCAGTACATTACCACTTGGACTAAAACTTCATGGTTGTTCAGAAACAAAAAGATCTTTAGGCATGCTAGATTTGCTATTCGCGTCGATTCAGGGTCTTTTCTGATGCCAATATTTTAATGCTAACCTTCCCAAGTTGGGATGATGAGCACACCATGAGAATCAGCTCTCAGACTAGTAAAATTGGGGGAACAACTACCGATACATTCATGCAACTTTAACTCACTGTCTTCGTGCTATCCTAATACAATAATGCACTCATTCACACATCAGGATTCTTGTTCTAAATTGTAGTACTCTACAGTGGAGCTAATGGTTTATAACAAAATATTTTTTTTAACGTGCTTTAAAGGTATATAATAACAATTTATATATAGTAATTTTTTATTAAAAATTGCATAATTCAATTTATTGATATTATTAAATATTAGTGATATTTTAAAATACTGTATAACAAAATAAGGGCTAGTGCATCACAATTTTTTTAATCCCTCGATGACATTATTCACTTTAACTTCTTACCACCGTATTTAACTCGGCAAACTTCATTGTTGTGCATAACGCGCCTAAAGCCGAACTGTAATTATGACTTCTACTGTTGTTTTCATGCCATTAATATCAAGATTTGAGAACCACAATTGAAAAGAAAAAAATCTAACCCACACTTACTCATCTCATTAATTTTAATTGTATGCATGCTAAAATGAGAGCGAATAAAAAGGAAATATTACGATGTGTTACTCATCCCAATATTTATTTATTTATCTGAGTTAATGTTAATTTTTCCCTTCTAAATACGTTATCTTACCTTGTTCTTCCATGTTAGTGTTACTGTTTGCCATCCAACGAAGCACACCTTAACAGTAAAAGTCAAGAAAAAGAAAAAGAAAAAGAAAGATTTACAAATAAGACAAAATATGCAAGATAAAAGCATAAGTAAAGTAATTATGACGACAAAAATGAAAGGGAAAAAAACAAAGAATAAAGTCACAATCAGGAGGACCTAACAATAATTAAACAATGATCTTATCAACAAGTGTAACTGTGTAAGCTTGAAATAGAACAGTAGTAAACATTTTCCCAGCAAGTGGCCCAAAACTTGTTATAAATAGTTTACAGAACATCATCCCTTGTACGTGTTTTAAGAGTGTCCTCAAATTAAGCAATCGTATGACTAAGGATAATTAAGTCCACAAATTAATAATATAAAAGGTTAAGCAACACATTGAACACTCAACTAAAAAATTAAACATTTTCCAAACTGCTGATAAACCTGGAATCCACGCAAAAATAATTGATGGTGGCATAGTGGGTCTAATAGTATATCCGTTGTATCCCAAAGGTGTAGTGTAGACCCATGCAATCATTCAAATGAAATTGCGCACCCTTCAACGGTGCAGACCATGAGACCCGTATCTTCCTCCACATGCCATAATTGTGATTTGTTAAGAACTTTAAAAAGGAAAAAGAGAAAAACAGCTATTTCTTATTGGCATCTTCATCTAGCTCATGCAAATGGGCTCGAGGACCAGGTAATTCCTCTTAAATATTAAATAAATAATAAATAAACAATCACATACAAAGTATAATAAAAAACTTTATTATTACATTAGTAATAGCATAGAATTCGGATCTTTCCAGCCAAATTTTTTTTCCAGAAAAAGTGAATTTATATTATAAATAGTTAACAGTGATAAAAGAGAAAAAGTGAATGAATATTAACAAAATACTCCAAATATTTTATAGATATCAGACATCTTGTCACTGGAGGGTATCTGAATTCAATAATATGGCTGTAATTAATTATTATAATTAAAAAAAATAAAGTCTTCTCATAATAAAAATCATGCATAAAATTTATTTTTTATTAATTTTAAATTGATTTATTTATTTAATATCTATTAAAAGAGATATAAAAATAAAACTTTACCACATAAAATATTTTTCCGGTAAAAACAACTCATTTACCTGCTCCTTATTAAATAAATAATAAATTAACTGCTGGACTCGACATCCAGACTTGATCTACGTTCTTCTCTCTCTTCATTCTCTAACCTCTACGTTATTGCTCTCTGTCTGGTTTTTGTTGGTGAAATCCTCAAAACCGTTTGATTTTGATCAAAGGGTTCTTAGGATTCGGACGCCGATGTTGTTGCCCCCCTCCTCTGTTGTCTTAGAAGAGGAAGGAAGAAAAGCATCAATTTTTGCAAGCAATAAACTTAAAAGTCCTTGCTTTTGCCCTTTCTCTTCTTCTTCCCCTTCCTTGTCTTGAAAAATACACACAGCAAAACCGTTGTAGCTAGATGAAGAATAACATATGATTGGAGTGAATCACACCTAGAATCGAAGAGTGGCGACAAAGTTAAAATAACTTAAAGGATGGAATCGAGTAGCCTTGATAGCAGCAGCAGCACAGTGTTATCGTTGAGTATGATGGAAGAGGATGACCATTCCCATCAGTTTTCTGCAATTTCGAAGCTGCATAACAATGGTCCCACCACCACCAGTGTCCATGACCTTCTTGAATGCCCCGTCTGCACCAACTCCATGTATCCTCCAATCCATCAGGTCCATTATCCGATCCATTTTGCTTTGTGCCTTTGCTTCCTTAAATCACTTTGTTATTGTTCTATGTTCATTTGGAGTTACCTACTTTCTTTCTTTTTACCTTCTGTTTATGTCATTTGCTTGCGCCCATCACTCCTTTTTACTTTCCTTTTTATTTTTTGGTTCATATCTAATGAGAGTGTTTTTTTGGGCATGTCTGGTATGGAGGGTTTGGATTTATTATGATGGCATTGAAAGTCTTCGATGCGGGGATAAAGGGAACGTGTAATTGCGTGTGGGAAATTTCCCCCCTTTTTAATGTATAGATCTTATCTTTGCTGGAATTCCAGTTTGCATGATTTCGCATATGAATGTTGAGGATTTGGTTTCTATGCTGGGTTACTCTGATCAAAGATTGGTTCTGAAATTTTTTTTCTGGGGTTCTGAATTCCTTTTTGCTTGTGTTGCCATGTTTGCGGAGTTTTGCTCTACAAAATTTAGTGACAACTCATTGTTGTGATGTTTTAGACTTGCAGAAGGTATAGGGTGACCATGTTTGCCTGCAAAAAGGGCGTAATCGTTTTGTTTGGGCAAAAATTGTCACTAGTAAACCTTTGTAGATTGTAATTCAAAAATAAGAAAAGAAATTTATATGCATCAATTCCTATTGGTGAGGACATTAATCAATGTCTGCATATCAATCAAGAGAACTTAGTTAATGAAGCAGAAAAGGATATTGTAATGGCTTGTAGAGAAAACAAGGTATACAAACTTTGTGGCTCACTGATGATTACTATAAGTAGTTATCATTTTAAAATAATATGAATGTGAATTTTTCATCCATGGCTTGTTTATTAGGTCTGTTTCATGTTTGAGGGACCAAAGAATCTCTTCTGGTGGAAATGTGTCTTAATTTGAAAATCTTTTATTTAGTTCCTTCTGTGTGTTCATAGTAAGAAAAATGCTAACAAATTCTTTGTTGTTGTATATTGGTCTATTCTTTAATAAGCTAATATTTGCTATAAAAAGTGACCTATTTTCAAGATAACTAAATATATGTTAAAAGAGTGTGTTGTTAGCACTTAGCATTGCTCATTATAGTAATTAACTTAAACTTTGATTGTATCATTAGCATGGTATCTCCCCTCCCTCTCTTCCTCTAAATAGAGTTAGATTTGTGACTTAAATTTTGGAATTTGGAAGGTTGGTTATTTGTCATTTCTCTAACATTAATATCAATCACATGATAGCAAATAATTGGTTTTGCTACAGTATCCTAAAATAAGAATATTATGATGAGTGATTGATATGTCCATGAATAAAGTTGTTGACGCTGCTAATAGGCCAAGGAGACCGACAAATAGGATGTTTAGTCATATAGTGTAAGTGACAAAATCTATACATCCATTATAGAATTTGTCACTAGTAGGAAAATTCTTGTAGACTTAAGCTTTTCCTTTGGGGTGATACTCTCATAAGCTAAAGTAGAATTAGATGCATCTCGGGCTAGAAGGTGAAAAACATTAAAATTTTCTTTTACTCTTTGTTGTTGCATCAAAATTTTCAGCTTGAATTGATAAGCAACTCCATTGCTATGAGAACGTTGATATCTGACCACAATATAGGAAAAAAATTTTAGTATGTTATTGGGTGAGCGTTTACAAACTTGACTTTAGATTATTTTATTTTTGTAAAATTGATTTTGGTTCAAAGCGAGTTGAAAGTGAAGCAATGTAATGTTTGGAAACTTTTATTTCAAAAGTAAGTTTTTACAAAATCAAGTATGAAATTTGTTAAGATCCCTCGTTGGCAAGACTTGAGCATTTACCCTTACATTAGATTTTGGTATTAAGTTAGGTTTAGTTTATTTTTAAGTTTTAACAAGGTATTGGAACCTATTTGTTGAGAATAATTATAAATAAATAGAGAATACTTATTTATTACATTAGATAGCATTATTTATGGTAAATATGTAACAAAATATTTTGTGATTATTATTTTTTATTATAACTAAAGCTGTCTGTCGTGTATAAAACACACAGATTTCACTCTATGTCTTTCAATCTCTTCTTTTCCAACATAGTATCTAGAGCCTAATAAAAGACAAAATCTAGTCTATTACTTATGCAGTGGACCCACTATCCATTGGTAACTTTTTTTTTATACCATTGCTATCATGCCTTTGCCCTCACTGGTGGCCACATTGTCAGAGTCCTTCCTCTGATTGACATAACCCTGACAAGCCCATTGTCATCGAAGTTGCCACATGCTCTCACACATCACCTCATTCTGGCACCGATATCTCACGCATTGCCATTTTTTACCACATGTGGTAGCGCATTCAATGGCCTTTCTAGCCGGTGATCATCTTGTTGGACTCACCTCTCTCCAATCATCTTAATTCTTCCTTTCTTCATTTTGGTTTTCCTCCTTCACAATTGAGGGTCTTTTGATATTGTTTGCACCATTCGTGTGCACTTTTAGTTCTCCTTCTTGTTACCCATGGTGGGTTGACTCTTAGGCTTGCTATTTTTACCAATCACTACACAAGCTCCGTCACACCATTGATAGGTGCTATGCATTACATGGACGCTCTCCTCATATTGCTTATGTTGTTTAGAGTACTATGTTGGTTCCCTCTGATGCTCTCTTGGCTAAACCATCACAGGCATAACCTTCCATCTACAATAATTTTCTAAGGTGTGAGGAACGCTAGACTTCAAGTTTTATTTTTTTTTGTTGTACACTCTGATAATTCTTTTGCTAACATCTACCAATCCTCTCCTCTTGGTCCATGGGTAGTTGATATAGGGGCCACCAATCATATAACTGGCAATAAATCACTTTTCTCTACTTTATTTACTTCTAACTATTTACCATCTGTCACTATGACTAATGGTTCTTAAACTCAATCCAAAGGCATTCGTACTGTTCATCCTTCTTCTACCTTTTATGTTGACGATGTCCTTTACATTCCTAAATCTCCTTTTAATTTGCTTTCCATTAGTTGTCTCATCTAGTCTCTTGATTGCACTGGTACCTCGACTAAAGATTATGTTTTTCTGCAGGACGAAATTTAGGGCAAATGATTGGAACCGGATGTGAGTGCCAAGGTTTTTACCACTTATATAGACCATCTCATGTTGGTTCAATAGTGGAGTCTCGTCTCTTGATTCTTGCTTGATTAGGACATCCAAATCTTTCCAAGTTGCGTCAGATGGTATCAAATTTATCAAAATTGCCATTATTGTTTTGTAAGTTATGTCAGTTATGTAAACATATTCGCTATTCTAATAACCAGGTTTCTTCTCCTCCAATATTTGAGGTATACATTCCAAATTATTGTACTTGGTTATATTCAATAAAAGAACAATTTGAGTTGTTTTCTATATTCTAATTCTTTTTTAATGAAATAAATAGTTAATTTAGAATTCTAATTCATAAGTTATAAAGTAACAATGCACGCAAATGTTTATTCACCAAGTTTCAAACTTTTATGGCTTCTCATGACATTCTTCATCAAACTTCATCTCCTCATTCTCTTTAACAAAATGAGATTGCCAAATGCAAAAATCGTCATCTAATTGAAACTACTTAGACTCTTACCTTTCACTCACGCATTCCTTATCATTTCTAGAGTGATGTTGTTCTTACTAGTTGCTATCTTATCAACAAGATGCCATTTGATGTCTTATCATTCCTCCTTGGGTCTTTAGGTTTACATGTTTTGTTCATAATCTCACTCCTAGATTAGACAAACTCTCTTATTGTTCTTTTTAGTGTGTCTTCCTTGGTTATCCTCATTCTCGAAAAGGGCACGAGTTATTCTCCCTTTCTTTGTCAATATATTATCTCCTCATACTAAATTTATACCAAAAAAGGGATAGTTGTTTAAGGATCCAAAAAAATACAGATGATTGATTGGTAAATTAAATCATCTCACTGTTACCTGACTTGATATCTCATTTACAATAAGGGTAGGAAGTCAATTTCTCAACCTTCCATGGAAGAAACATTGGGATACAATTGTTCGCACTATGAAATGTGTTAAATGAGCTCAAGGCAAGGATCTTCTATGTGAAAACAAAGGTCATAGTCAAATTAAAGGATATTATGATGCATATTGGATAAGTTCTCACTTTGATAGAAGATCTACTTCAGAATATATTGTTTTTATTGGAGGTAACTTGGTTTCTTGGTAAAAACAAGAAACAAAATGTAGTTGCAAGATCAGGTGCAGAAGTTGAAGAGTGAGTCATGGCCTCAACCATTTGTGAACTTATATGGTTCAAACAATTACTTTAATAGTTGAAATTTGGAGAGATTTCACAAATGACATCTATTTATGATAATCAGGTTGCCTTACATATTGCCTCAAATTCGATGTTTCATGAAAGAATCAAACACATTGAGATAGATTATCATTTTATTAAAGAAAATGTTTTATTTGTAAATATTACCACAAGATTAGTTAATTCCAATGATTTAATTGTAGATATTTTTACTAAATATTTAAGGGAACTATGAATTAGTTATATATGTTACAAACTTAGTGCATATGATTTATATATTTCAGCTTGAGGGAGACAAGTGTTGAGAATAACTGTAAATAAATAGAGAATATTTATTTATTACATTAAATACCGTTATTTATGGTAAAGATGTATCAAATTAGTTTGTAATTACTACTGTCATTGTAAATAAAGTTCTTTGCTGAGTATCAAATGTACATGGATTCACTCTATTTCTCTCAATTTCTTCTCTCTCAACATTATCCATCCTTAATATTGGGGCAGTCAACAATGTCCACTCTTGAAAACTCAATCATGCTCCAAATATCTAGATTTGGGTGTCATAAGCAAGACTTGGCAATTTGCTCCCTTTGAGCAAGCTTTTTTTGGGTTGATTTAAGCTTAGTCCACTTCTAATATGGTATTAGAATAATCTTAATGTTAGCGAAAAACATTTACTCATATTTTGTATGCACAAACACAGGTTTTTATCACCCAAATGTTCTTTTAAGATATTGCAACACATATCCAAATATGCAGTTATTAATTTATAATGAAGAGTAACCGGAATGGAAAATTTTTTGTTGAGAGATAAGGCGATACTTAATTCAGCATCTAACACAATGAAATCTCTTCACTCATCATGAGTCTCGTGACATGTAGCTTATTTGCAAATGTGATCAATCAAATCTGGAGTTTTCTCAATTTTTGTTGTGCGCTAAGTTTATTTCAGCAAGTGGTGGTGGTGCATTTTGTCAGATTTTGCCATTAATTATATTGTTTTGTTAGAGTATATTGAAACCTTCTGTCCTTGTCCTTGACTCCTTGTACAGGAATGCAGGTAACTATAATATTTGAGTAATGATGCTAACATAACCGTGACTGATTCTTAAAACCAATTTTCTTATGCAGTGCCACAATGGGCACACACTGTGTTCAACTTGTAAGACAAGGGTACACAATCGATGCCCAACTTGCAGGCAGGAACTTGGTGATATAAGGTGTCTGGCCTTGGAGAAAATAGCAGAATCACTGGAACTGCCTTGCAGATATATCTCTCTTGGGTGTCCAGAGATATTTCCCTATTACAGCAAACTCAAACACGAGGCTATTTGTAACTTCAGACCACACAACTGCCCTTATGCTGGGTCAGACTGCTCTGTGGTTGGGGATATTTCATACCTTGTTACTCATTTAAGGGATGACCACAGGGTTGATATGCATTCCGGATGCACTTTTAACCATCGCTATGTCAAATCTAATCCCCTGGAAGTAGAAAATGCTACATGGATGCTAACGGTAACTATAACTTTACCCCTCCCTCTGCCTACAAGCAGGAAAATGAGATGATACAAGTCCTTCTTTAGGATGTGGTGCTGCACATTGGATGATCACAAAATGATATAAATTGCTATACTTTGCAGGATTTTCCTTTATTTCATGCACAAGCACACCTACGTTTTGCACAAATGTCCAAATTGTTATCGTTAACTCTAATTTTGGTTTATTGTTAGGTATTTCACTGTTTTGGCCAGTATTTTTGCCTTCATTTTGAAGCCTTTCAACTTGGCATGGCTCCTGTTTACATGGCGTTCCTCCGATTCATGGGTGATGAAAGAGAGGCTAGGAACTACAGCTATAGCTTGGAGGTGGGAGGAAATGGACGTAAACTAACTTTTGAAGGGAGTCCACGAAGCATTCGAGATAGCCATAAGAAAGTTAGAGACAGTCATGATGGTCTCATCATATATCGTAATATGGCACTTTTCTTCTCAGGTGGAGACAGGAAAGAGTTGAAGCTACGGGTAACTGGGAGGATATGGAAAGAACAGCAAAACCCTGAAGGTGGAGTATGCATACCCAACCTGTGTAGCTAGGTTGATTGCATCTCTTGAATGCTATTTCTTGCTGTAGATAATTTTGAGAAGTCTCGATCTTTGACTGGTGAATGGTTATGGAGATTTCAACTTCCAAACAAAATAAAAACTTTTAGAGTTCTAACCAAGATACTTTGTCGGATATTTGATCGCCTACGTGTGTTATATGCTTGAGATTCTCATAGAATGATTTAAATTTGGCACTGTTTTGTCTTTTTTATTTCTGGAAGGGTTACTTTTCAACGTGGTTTGGAATTATACTACCCTTTTCAGTCCAAACAGTTCCGAAGTGGATCAAGTCACAAATGGTTCTTTCAAATCAATGGTGAACAACTCGGAGAGAGCAAATGTGAACCTTATGTACCAATAAACGAAATAGTGTCAAAATAATTTAGAAAGTAGTGCCAAAAAGGTTTTTAACTGGCAGAGCTGCTCCTTTTTGCGAAGGTTAAAATTATCTTTAGGTGTAAGGATAAAAAAAAATTGTAAAGAAACAATCTTTATGAGCATATCCACATGTTAATACCGTACACCCTTTGTGACTTTAATGAAAGGTTTGGACTATATATATATACCCAATGACAGCAAATAGTTTACCTTGAAAAAAAAAAAAGCATTATTGTATTACAGGTTAAAACATTTGGTAATGTGACATTGTCAATTAATCCCCTTAATTGTTGACCCCAAAAAAAAGAAATCTCTTTAATTTGAGTAACTTTTGTGTAACTTTTGTGCTAGTCCGACTCCTGCCCTGCCCTGTCCTCTGTGCATGAATGCCTAGACATGTGACATCGTAATTTTGCATATTAAATTTAATAATTTTTTAACATTTAAAAGTATACAAATTAACTAATACATGTAGATATCACACAAAATATATTATACATTAAAATAACTTTGTTTAATGAAATAATTAATTTCTAAATTGTTTAAAATCTATTAAACTTCATATCGAGAAAGTTTTAATGCATCGATTCGATTGATGGTATTTACCATTTTATAAGTTACTTATTCACCTAATGTCAACATGTGTACACACTGAAAATGGATAGAAAATGACAACACATCTAATTTTACTGTATCCAATCCAAACACCGTAAAATCCACTTCATTTTCCACACATCCATTTACACTCCTAACAAACACAACCTTGTAGTTGACAACACTCGTTGCAAGATAAGTGTGTTAAACTACAATACAGAGGGAAAGAGCCTTTCTACTTTCTCTTGAATTCAAATTTAATAAAGAAATCAACAACAAACTTGAAAGAATTTGTTATCCGCAAGAAACTGCTAAAATGTAAAACCTAGGAAGTTAAAGCTAAGAGTGGTTTCACTTCCAAATCCCAAACAAAGAATTACTTCCTTTGTCATGAACTAAAAGACCAATTATTTGAGCTATACATATGTACGTAAACATATGTCCACAATGACATCACCCTATATACCTGTCATTATTGCAGAATTCAATTCTAATTATGAACGAGAGCTGACAATCTCATCAAGGCGCTTGTCCATGATATGGTAAACAGCATCCATGAATGTTGCTTCACTTGTTCCAGGAAGAACAGAATCCATTGCAGCTTGGACTATTTCCTCAATCACAGATTCCTTGTTCAAGGATTCCCTGCACATCAGGCTTCCAATGGCAAAAGGGGTCAATCCCCTTTCTACCCCTTTCTTCAATAGCATGGTTGAAATCCTAAGTGTATGGGCGCATTCAACTGGCAAATCCCATCCATGAAACTTCAAAAGGGAAATATCTTCTTCAGCATCCAGCGATTTTATGTAGTTGATAGTTTCTGAGGAGTATGGCTGGCGAGCTTGGGGCCAATAAAGCCATTCAAAGGTACAATCTTCAAACTGTTGAAATGGCAAAAATGTCAAATTAACCCTTTAAATCAAGGAAACAATAAAAATTGAGAGAGAGAGAGAGAGATGAGAAAGGGAAAATATCGAATAGAGAAGCATCACTACATGCATTCAAATAACAGACTTGCGAAGTTCACTCTTATGACTAAGTTTAAGTAACTAATAGAAGTAAGTTTTTATTGAAAAACAAAACATTTATGATACTTTGGTATCTTCAATGTAATAAAACTTCACTATTTTATACGTTTAAACTCAATTTTTAAGGTTGAAATTTACAAAACAAAACAAAGAGAGAGCATGAATAAGGTGCTTACATTTGTGGGCAAGCAGTATCCATGATCAATTGGAATCAGAACAGACTGATCACTGTCCTCTTCTGTGCTGATCAAAATATTCCCAGCATGCCTATCTGCATTTGCCAGTCTTATGTCCAACACAGTAATTTTATGCACTTCCTTTACGGGGAAAGCCCCAGGCCCCATATCTTCACAACTTCCACTATTTTCCACAAACATCTGCATGGAGCCAATCTTAGCAGTCAACTCTCCACGATAGTTAAATGCTCTATGCAAGCACTTCACCATCAATGTTGGGGGAACACCAGCAAAGCCCTTCTTCTCACCAAATAATGAGCGGCGCCCACTCAATGGATGGTCTAGAACATAGGCTGCAACTTCCCTGAATACTCCTTGACCAACTCTTGTACCTTTTTTTAACCCTACACCATCTACCGAAAAAGGAAGGCCTCTAGGATTATTCACAGCCATTGGTTCTTCATCAATAGGCTTAAAAACAGACACATACTTTTGCCCAGATGAATCAAGCATAAAGTAAGCTCCCCCGGAACCCTCTGCAGATCTGATTGGATAGTTTCCGCTATCTAGTCCATCATATGTAGAGTTCACCATATTCCAAATTGCTGGAGCTAATTCGATTTTACGGTTAACAATAACTGGCTCCAAAATAAAATCTCTACCAGGAAGCTTTCTAGGCACGGCTCTTTGAATTGCATCGGACTTCCTAATAGTATCTTCTTTACCAACCTCATAATTACTCCCACAAGCATTTCCATTGACATCATTTTTTCTCTTATCAATCAAATCTGTTGCTACAACAGACAACTCAAGGGGTCTTCTCTGAACTTTGGCATGCTTTTTTCTAACAAACAAATGTACCACAGCATCATTATGTTTGCGGCAGATATCATCAATAAGCCTCTGATCCTCAAGCCTTTCCCCATTGCACACAAGTTCCTGCTCCTCAGGATCATCAAATTGCTTCTCCCTTTTGGCAATACGTTGCTTTAGATACCCAACATCCCTATCGCGTTCCACCTGGAACGTGAATTCCTTCCCACAAGAAGTTTTCACATTGATGACCTGAAGATCTGACAGTTTGATTATCAAATGCAATACATTTCCATCCGTTACTCCATAGTCCTTGAGCAACGAATTACTTCGCGCCAGCTCTCGGCCGGCATAAACCAACTTTTGTTTGTTGGTTAAAAATGGAAGGCTCTCGCTCCTTTGGATTTTGAATTTCACAGACTCAATGGTATCCCATTCCATAACACGGATTGGAGTCAATGAGCCCGAAAAGGAGAGATATATGAAAATGGATTGATCTTCCAAAGACAAGTGTGATGATGATGGGAAATGGAATGGCTTTGGAGACAGCAATGGCTCACTAGGAACCACACTAAGAGTAGTGACACCAGCGGACGACATTTTCACTATTGATTGATACTGATGAATGGAAAACAAATGAAGCTTAAAACTAACAATTAAGCCCCTAAAAGACCCCACAAATTTCACAAGACTGCCATATTTCCACAATTTGGCAACCTTAGGTGATGATGATCACACATTCATGCCCAGGTCAACAAATAAGCTTTAACAACAAATTTGAACAAGCAGCTACGATCTCTCGAAGCAAAAGATGAAAAGATTAAAACCCCACGGAACTATTTCCATTATTTCCTCATCTCTTCCCCCATTCAGAAGGGTTTCTGAAGCCGATCAAATAAAACTCAAAATAGACAAACAAAGATAGCGGGTTCTTACCCCCAGAGCGGAAGCTGATCAAAACGACGCCGGAGATCACAAGTCCACAGCTTTTTTAGCAACAATGGTAGCAAAAAGAAGAGAGATGTAATGGGTAATTGAATTGTTGTTTTTGGTATCAATTGAAATGTTGTTCGAATTGAAGGAAGGAAGAAATGCCGATTATCAATTCGATTGAATTATTCGGAAGAGAAAGGTTGCTGTTGACTCTGACAGAAAGCGAAAGCGAAAGCGAGAGAGAAAGACAGAGAGAGAGAGAGAAAGGAGAAAATGGGAAAGAAATTAGAAATATTCGTATAAACGCGTGTATCCGTCTGGCGTTGTATACGAAGCAAGACCAATGCAAAGGTATTGACGAAAGGAAAAGTCTCTTTTCTCTATACATGCACCGTGCACGTACACCTATGTATACGTAGCTAGAATTTAGGGTTGATGTTCATATTTGCCACCGTTAAGGTCATTTTTGTCCTTTTACTTTTGAAGGAACAACGAAGGAAGGTTCCTCTGTGACTAAAGTATTTACATTTACAATAACATGATTTAGGATGACCAATTAGCAGTGGACACGCAATCAAAGTAGTGTCATCTAATTGATAGGGTAACGCGACGTGGACTTGACCTAGAGTATGTCTCCCACATCATTAATACCAACCTCTCACGGATTTAGACTCTATGCAGTTTTGATAGACTATATCCTGCAGTGCATTTTTATTTAAGTAAATTTTATTTCATTTAAATGAATTTAATAAAAAAAAGTAATTTTTATTTAAGGTAAAAAATTTGTTTAAATTAAAATTATGAAAAATTTTAAAATTTTATATATATTTTTTAAAATTATAAAAAATTTAAGAAACTTTTATTTTTTACTAAGGACTACTTAGTTACTAAAAACTCTTATATATTTTATCCTACTAAATATTTCAAATTTATTGTCTAATATATGCTACTTGTACCAATCATCAGTGAAGTAAAACTATCTGAAATCAAGTTAAATTGTTAAGAATGATAATAAGAATTATAGGAATGATAACTTTAAGAAATTGATTGAAAAATAGTTACATTATTATATATTTTAAAACACTTAAGTTTTTGTATTATGATTATAAAATATAACTACATGATCTCTACTACATCCTTGATCGTGAAATATCGATTGCTTGTTGAACTCTGTGAATTGCGTGAAAGTAGGATACTCCAAATTCGTGAGTCCAAGAGTTTTATAAAACTCTCTTGATGGAAAAAAATATGAATGAAAGATCCCGCTAAATTGAATTGGGTTCATGAATCTAAGAAATAGCGAGAATTCTTGATCTTTCTCAATTCGAAAATGCACAAATGTTTTTAAATGTATTGTTTAATGTGCTACTTATGTTAAACATTAGTGAAGTAGAACTATTTAGAATCAAGTTAAATTGTTAAGAATGATGATAAGGATTATAGGAATGATAACTTTAAAAAATTGGTTGAAAAATAGATGTGATATTACATGTTTTAAAACACTTAAGTTTTTGTTGTATGATCATAAAGTGTGACCATATGATCTTGCACAGATATTTCTCAACTTTTCTATAGTTTAAAGGAGAAGAAAATAAAGTTTTGAAATTTTTGATAATTTTAGTTTAAGCAAATTTTTTGACTTAAGCGAAAATCATTTTTTTACTAAATTTGCTTAAGCGAATTTTTTGACTTAAGTTAAAATTATTTTTGTTAAATTCTCTTAAACAAAAATATACTGCAAGATGCAGTTCCAGCCAAAATTGCAAAGGATCCGGATCTCACTCTCACCTTATCCAACCTTTCACTTCCTCCTCTTCCCACATTTTTTCAAGAACAAATCATCTTCTTTCATTCCCCCATTGTAAATGACTCAAAGGGGTACTTGGTGACTTTAGAAAGGCATAAAAAATATGCATATAAATTAAACTTTAAAAAGTTTTTTTAATCAAAGTAATATTTTAATAGATAATGTCAGTTCATAATAATTTTATCGGAGTTCAAATAAAATTATTTTTAAAAAAGATACATGAGATTTAAATTAAATAAAAACTATTACATATTTTTTATATTTTAAAATAATAAATTATGTGCTCTTTATTTAATTTTTATTTTATAAAATAAAAAACATTAAAAGGATGATCAAGAAGATATAAAAGATTATATTTTCTAAAAATGTACTGCTTGACAGGGTTGGCAACATAGCAAGTTCTTTCTTAAATCTAATGTCACTATGTAATTATACGTATTTTAAATTGAATTACTTAGTACCTAATTTCAATATTCAAATCAAATTAGGGTAAAAGCAAGCATTTGCCTTCACTTGGACATGCTGGTGTCATCTCATCAGTCATCACTTACGTGGTAATGGATGGAGGGTGGGTGGTGTCCAATTTGGATACTGCTGTACTTTGGTCATATCTCGCAGGAGTGGAATCAAACTACTACTCAGAAATGTTTCTTTTTAAGCAATCGTTCTAGGTCAGCCATCATCTCCTAACGCTTGCCTTTTCCTTTCTACACACAATAATAATAATAATAATAAGGAAATTGAGCAAAACAGATATTTTATGTTTTCATATATTTGGATCAAAAGTGGTTTTCTAAATCTCTCTGATCATAGTCAATGTAAGTGATAATCCTGACTGAGACGAGTATATATTAATTCATTTATTGAATATATTTGGGCTTCACTGTGTATAAATATTGTGATACAAACTGTTTCAATAATATTTTGAAGTTCAATTTATTTCGATACTTTCGAGCTAACGTCGAAGAGTCTTATCCTTGTGGTGCTAAAAAGTTAACTTAGTGGAGGAGGAATAAGTTGATTTGGCCAGCTCCAACTTTCTGTCTTCAGCTAAAGCTCAAGAAGAAGGAACAGGTGGAGACGCAATTCTATCACTGGAAATTGAATTATCAACAAGTTATTTACTATTTAGATTTGTTGCTACGACACATTTTTCATTTCTGTTCCTTTTGCTTATTTTATCGAATAAATGAACTTTAAACTGCAAGACGGTATAACAAACAGTAAAAATTTAAAAAACTAAGTTCCGCAAACTACTTCACCAACAAAGATATATAACCCAGTTAAATGCAGTTAAGTGAGAACAAGGGGAGCATTTGAGGCAAGGTCTAAATGGATTTTAATGATGAGCCTTCCAGTGTAAGACACTGGAGAAAAAAATATAATTTACATTCTACTCATGTCATGCTGAGGTATTTGTACTTGAATACAGTGTACAGATTAAGCAGGCCATGCCATATACCAGAAGGCTGCATCGGAGCAAATAGTATGTTATTGTTATGAATACAGTTTGTCCAAAACTGGCAACACAATCACCTAAGCCCTCACTACGCAACCTTGACAACAGAAACAGGCTACTAAAAAGCCAAGCAGAGCACCAGCAAAAACTTGAGATGGAGTGTGACCTAGAAGTTCCTTCAGCTTCCTTTCACTAATTGGATGCCCTTGAAACAGGTCAGCCACAATCAAATTAAGCACCTGTGTCCAGCCACACAATTTTCTGATTAAAGATTTTCTTTCGAAGCAGAAGGTAAACACAATCAAATTACTACATAGAAATCGGACAAATGACAACAGATCTCTCCTACCATTTAAGTTAGATATCCTCCTAACCTAAGGAACAATAGCAGTAACAGACATTGCAGTACACCGGCTCAAAATTGTACAAGTGAAAGTTTCTAGGTCTTTGACATTTCTGGTAAACCAAAACAAGGGATGCTTAAATTCAAAATTTTATTGTCATAGAACAAATATGGAATGTAAATGATAAAAGATACAATATATGATGATTTACAAAGCAAGAAAAGGTCAAGATTTTCACACCTAACTGATAGCTTAGGAACACTAGTAGACATTTGGACATAAATATCAACATGCATGGTTGTTTCCAATTTAAGTAAAAATAATACCCTCCCACCACCCTACCGTTAGAATAGCATACTTCAAAAGACAAAACAAGAAGAGTACAACATAAAAGAGCAACCTATTAACACAGAAGCAGCACTTTTGGTGACATAACAAACCCTACCTAGTTCAAGGGGGATAGTTTCTTCTGGCAATCTAAGTTCAGCTTTGTTTTACAACAGCCTCTAAAACCTCAAATTAACAGTCACCAAGCATCCAACATATCAGAAAACAAAATATTTGCAAATCAACGAGTGATTTCTTTCAGCAATTTAAAATTAAAGGTTCCACATCCACAGAAAATAAAAGGTACATTCAAGGATAATGCCTCCCGATGCGAATATAATATACATTTGCATCCACTAAACACCTGTTAGGATAGGCAGTTGAGAACCAAACACGCGTTGAGGAACGTGCCAAACATACTAGTAACTTCCATTCCCACTCTCATTCGATTTTTTCTACTATTAGAATTTTGAAAAGAAAAAAATCCCCATATTTACTAAATTCTATGCAAACATTATCCGTAATAGTATTCATGAAAAAACGTTATTCCTAGAAACACAATCATCATATGCCTTAAAACAAACGCCAGAGGAAAATCAGTACCTGAGCTTGCATGCCAGCATGTCGTCTAACACCAATTGCATCATACATGACAATAAGGCTAAACCCCAAACACACCGGAAAGAGGGAATCGGCGACGCCGTGACAGAGTGCGACGGAGGTGGTGAGGGCGGTGCAGAGAGCAGAGTGAGAAGAGGGCATTCCTCCGGAGGCAAAAAGAAGTCTCAAATCCCATTTCCTTTCAACGAAGAAATTCAAGAAAACCTTAATGGACTGGGCTATAACCCACGCCAACAACCCCGAAACGAAGGTTGGGTTCGCAGCCAATGTAGCAACGAATGGACTAAACCGAAGTTTGGCGTTGGCCGTTACGCTCAAAAGAGCCACACCCAATCCTCCGTTCTGCAAATAAAACCCTTCTCCATCGGAAACCCTTTTCTGGGGTTGCAAATTAGTCACCTTTTTTATGGTTTGGAGTAGTGGGAAGGAGAGCCAGATGGGGTTTCTTTGAGGATTGGAGTGCTGGGATTTTGCAGAAGAAGAAGGTGTGAAGTGAAAGAGGGATGAGTTAGTGGAAGGGAAAAGAGGGGTGCAATTGAATGGTTTGGGTTTGGGTGTTAGAGAGAGGAGAGAGTCCATGAGTTGAGGTTTCTGTGTTTTGGTTCAGTCAGCATTGCAGATGCAGATACAGAGAGAGGGAAAGAAAAGAAGCGTCGAAGCAAACTTGAAATGAAGTTTATGTTATGTTATGTTGTGGGGATAAGAATGTGTGTGTAGGGCATGCTCGAACCTTTGTCTCTGTCCCTGTTTCCATACCGTGCGTTCCTTCCTCTGAGAGGTAGCATAATTTATTGGACAAATTACGCATATTCGTTTCAAGGTAGGACTGGCCCACGTTTATCTTCTGCTAATTGGGTACCTTAGTGCATAAATATTCTGATTTTTGTGATTCTGATTACCATTTGTTTAGCTTTTTTATACATTTTAATGAGAATAATGTTAATTAGTACCTAATTCAAAATTTGTTTAAAATATTATTATTATTATTTTCAAAATAAAAATGTTTATTAATATTTTTTTAATATTTAAAAACATCCATTACCAAGAGTCTTGTATTTTTTGTTATTGGTCGAAAAAAACAAGACTCTTGTGTTTTTGAATGGATCATGGTGCCGTCTTTAACCCAATAGGCATGGGTTTTGGCCCATGTTTCAAGTTTATATGTGAGCTATAGGGTTTTGGTCCACTCTATTTAATTAATTATTTTGTCAACTCCCCTTCTATTTTTCATCCAAAAATATCTCTTGATGGTTAGGATCAAAACAAAAGTATTTTCTCATGTGGAAAGGAAAAAAAATAGTATCGTGTATAAGCAAAAAAGGCATCTAAATTTTAATTATTATTTTCTTCATTAAATTAAAGTGAATTAAGAAATTATATAGTAAAAACAAGGGATATTCCTACTATGAGTTGAGATAGGTTTAGTTTAGTTTCTATTCAATCCAACATTTTTGATATTATCTATTCGGAGTTTAACTTAATTCAACTAATACACGAAATGAGATCAAAGTCAATTTGATTTGTCAATACAACATATAAATGTTAACATTGTATATGTTTAAATTATATAATTAACAATGTATGAAATTAAAACTAAAATACACTTTATCATATTATCAGTATATAAATATTAAAATACATATTTAAAAAAAACATAAAATATTATATCAAATTAAGAAAAGCAATTCAAATTATAATTTAAATTCATTTTTAAAAAACTGTATCAGCATTTTTTTAATGTCTATAAAGTAAGAAACTATATTTCACAATTTTCACTGCTCTATTACATGAGAAGTTTTCACTTTCTTTTTTTCCAAAACCCTTTTTCCTACCTAATACAAACAGACCCTCATCTAATTTTCAAAATTCAAACTAAAAAAAAAATTGATTGACAACACAATGGGCTTGAAAAGCCATGGATGACCACAAAATATAAGAAAAAGCAAAACTCCGATGGAGGTGCCGGGAATCGACCGTGCCTCTCGCATGCAAAGCGAGCGCTCTACCATATGAGCTACACCCCCGATGACATTTTGCTATTGTTTATAAATTATCATTTTTTTCTTTTATTTTTCATTCTTTCATTTTTCGTCTAAAAACTGCACGTTTGAGTACGATTTTGGGCCATGTCCATTGTTTCACTCAATCAATTTTTTGGTCTAGTTATTACTACAATTTGAGTATGATTAAAAATTTTAATTTTAATTTCAATGAATTTTAAAAATACCTATGGGGAGAAACTAGGATTAGAGAAGGAGTAAAAAATAGGTGGAGAAGCATAGAGAAGTATTGACTTTATAGTTGCAAATTAGCACCTGTAAGTATAAAAGAAAAGTTATCAAATTAACAAATAGCTGTTTCTTTATCTCTTTATTTCACAGTAGATTAGCTGTTACAGCTTCATAAATTAGATTATTTATTAACGACATGTTTGGGGGTATTTACAAGGCAGGGGGTGAAGGGAGAGAAGCCGAAGCTCAGTCACAAGTCAAACGTCAATAGTCAAACGCGCTGACTTAAACAGTGTGATGCTTATTTGGAATTGTCACAAATTTAGCGTTAGAATGGAACAGAAATCCCCTATTTTCTGCCACACCGCGGTTTTGACTACGGTTTATGCGTAACCCCATTTTAGCAAACACGCAAATATGTTTCATTTTTTGAGACATAAAACACATAAATAAGTTCTACAGCTAGTAACCAACGTGCATCTCATTTACATGCACTTTCTTTGCGTCATTTTTCTAATTACTTCAAAGCTTGGAGTTTTCGAATAAAGTTTTCTCATATTTCTGGGGCATTGTTCATCATATCTTTTAACAACGTAATGGAATGGTCTGCAACATGGGCTACAAGGGCTTACCTCGATGCCCTTCATCTGGTATTCATTCACCTGTCCAGCATTTCCCTCTCTTACATATATATATATTGGTATTCAATGCTTGCTTAATTTTGGTGGGTATTTCCCATATTTTCCTCTTGTACGAACATGCTTTTCTATTTTTCTTGAACAAGAACATAAATCAATGATCATCCGGCGGATTCCATAGTTTTTAGTTTACACACGTGTTGCATCATTTTTTTTACTCTCAAATTAGTTATTTGCTTCTTCTTTTCAATGCAAGAATCAAATGTAGAGAGTATGGTCCATGAACATGCAGGTGAAAGAGATGACCATATATTCTAAGACTCTGAGCTCTATGAAGGTTGCATTTGGATTTTCAATTTCTAGCGTGCCCAACAAACATGTTAAGAAGTATTAATATATCTTAATAAATATTTTAAATTAATATAAAAAATATGTATTAAATAATTTTTAAAATTTTAAGATGATAAATATTTTTATTTCTAATAAAAAATAATTTTTAAATTTTCAACACATGTTATCGGTCACAAGTTCGAAAAAACTCGTTGGATTTTATAATGAGTACAGACGAGCAGAAAGCTAAGTAGAAATCAAATTCACACACAATTTAGGGGTGCTTCAAATGGAAATGTCATATTAAGAATTGGATGGTGACTTGAAAGAAAAATAAAAATGCTAGCTCATCTAACTCCTTGCTCTTGACAGTGTAACAATCATGAAAGACAATATGGCTCTTGGAGAGTGCAAGAACCAGGAAGCAATGAATTTGTATCAGCATTAGCAGCAGGAATGAAAGCAAAACTTATAGTAGAAGTCACATCTGGAGCTTCTCCATCAACAATAGCCCTCGCAGCTGCTGCAAGACAAACTGGTGGCAGGTTGGTGTGTATTCTACCGGAACCAGACCTTGATGAGTCCAAAGAAGTGATTAGGAACTCAGGTCTTAAAGACCAAGTAGAATTTAGAACTGAAGACCCATACAAGCTATTGCCCTGCTATGAAAATATTGATTTCTCCTTGGTTGATTGCAAAGATGAAAAGTATGCAAGGCTTCTCAACTTGCTAGATGTCAATCCTACGAGATCTGTAGTGGTGGCAAACAATTTGGCTGATCATGCAAAAGGGTTGGGGGGCTATGTAAGAAGAAAGGATGATAAAGTGGCTGTAAGATCTCTGAAGCATCCTATAGGGAAAGGTATGGAAGTTACTATGATTTGCAAGAATGATGAAACTGATAAGAGACTTGGTGTTAGAGGACATCGTTGTAGAAAAAGGAACAAGAGTAAGTGGGTTGCCAAGTTTGATGAGGAGAGTGGTGAGGAACATATATACAGGGTTCCCCAGGTTGACTTGTTCTGGAATTAACATTGCATCTTCCAGATGCTACTAGAAAATAGTTGCAACTGTTGCACCTTTGGTGTCAAAGTGCTAAACATGCTGTTGCGAATAATACAATGCATGTTTGATTTTAATTTAACTTTTAAGGGGAAAAAAAAAACTAGATTTTTTTCAAAAGCTCTCGCATAAATTGTGATTATAAGTTGTGTTAAATACAAAATAAGCTGATCAAAAGCACACAGTTAAGCCCTGATCAGCTTGAATAGTATATGACTATATGAAGTTAACTACTGGAGCAGAGCTCCTGTTTACCTTCTAAGCCAATCTTTTGTAATTCAACCATACTTAGGAATCAGTCTGCAGAATGTATCAAACAGTTTATAATGAACTCGGCCTTAAAACTACAGTGTTATTACATAGTGTTAATTAAATACTCCTGCTCATAATGCTACAGAGTTGATGACCATAAGAGAAATTGAGTTACTACTATTTAACATATGACAAAGGCTAACCAGTATCCTTAAAGAATTAAAAGTAAAAAAATTATTGAAAAAGTGAAACAGGGTACTCTTCTGATTTCGAAATTCAACCCCCAACGTAATTTTCAATGAACATTTTCTATTTGTTAATTCCTTTACTAGTACCCTAAGGGAACTGGTTAACAGGGCACTTAACATGTCACTATGTCATAACTAATTAACCAAATACAACTACAGTATGAAACAGGAATACATTTAGCACGTGCACGTTTCTTATGCTTTTGAAGACTTTACTGTGGCTTATTATTTTATACCTAAATCACCATTGTCCAACGTAAACGTCAATGCTAAATGATAATGTCTGAAGTGGGTGCATTTTTTAGATTCTTTTCGATCTAATAATTGTTTTTCTTACAGATACCGTTATGTACCAATCCACTTCGTATTCCGTGCCATTGTCAATAGGCTACTATAACATCAATAAGCATAAACGTTACATTTTATCCACATGCACGCCACAAAAGATAGACCAAGAAACGATCCATGACTTGGTAAACACATTAAAAAAAAAAAAACAAATAAATAAATAAGGCTTGTCCGAATAAATAAATCATTGCATGCTCCATATCTTAGTAAAGGCCATGGAGCCAATCCCTATTATAAAACCGGAGCTAAAGTCAAGAACAGGTTCATCTATCTACATCAAAGTTGGCCTGTTCCAAGTTGTTCCACTGCTGGCCAACGCAAGCAGACCTTTTTCTGTTAGGAGGAGGTAATTTTCTTCAGCTTTTAGTTCTATTTACCCCTTATTTTACCAAACAATGTTAACTAACGTATACTTTCTCTGTTTTATCTTGTTACTGAAGATATCCCCGGATAAGATAACAAGACAAAAGTTAATTTTTACGGACACCCAGATGCCTATAATTTTCTTAAACATTTATGGTTATTGAAATTTGAATTCTTTTTCACATTTTTGAATATATTTACTGGAGTATGAATGAACACTGTTCATAGAAAAATCAGTAAAAAGCTCCAATCCAAAGGAAAGAAATGCAGTTGGAAGTGGAGTTCTCAAGAATAGAAGGGGATGATGATGATTACTTCCCGGTACCAACCACTATCCCCACCACCAACCACCAAATTCTAACCTTCAAACGCAAGAGACTAACACCTCTCAACTGCCTTGTTAGATTCACATTGCCTCTCTTATTCTTGAGCTTTGTAACTACCATTGTTGCAAACATTGGATCTCACTGGATCGAGTCTATGAATGGCAAAGCCAAGATCTTGGACTCAGATATGGCCGTCTTTTGTCAGGGCGTGTATTCTTATTCTTGTCTTGAACTTCAAGATCATAGCATTAGCGGATGACAATGGAAGCAGCGATTATGCATCAGAAAGTACGTGCAAGAACACAAATTATCAAATTTTCCTCCCTCCACCATATCAGAATATATCCTATTCCTCTACGATATGCAAACCTGTTTGGCATACATACGAATTGAGGGTTAGTTCAAGTTGAAATGAATTAAAGTTCTAATGCTTGCTTGTAGGTTCTATTCTAACATGCTTGGTTATATATATATGTATATATATATATATATATATATATACTCAGTTACTTATTGTTTTTCTCTCGAGTAACTATACTGTTGAAACTTATTATTATGATCTGCTTTTGGTTCAGGGTGGCATCATTTTTGTTTAACATGATTTTGGAATTATCATGTTTTATGATCTTTATCTAAGAAGTGAGACAACTGCTCCAATTCTAAAATCTAGTTATAAATTAGTGATTTATTATTATTTGAATGTCATGGTTGTCCCTTTGCATCTAAATTGTGGAGAGATTTTGTTGCAGTACACTAAAAGCGGTGATACCACAACTGTCATATTATCTGCTCCCTACACTGTTGGGTGGGTGGGAATTGGATTTTCTAGAGATGGAATGATGACTGGTTCCAGTGCAATGGTGGGATGGATTAATAAACATGGTCATGCAAAAATCAAGCAATTTTATCTGAGGGGTAGGAAGCAATCAGAAGTGATTGTGGAAAAAGGTGAACTGCCTCTAAATAATGTGCCTCCCGCTGTGGCAACAAATGGGGCCGAGATTTATATAGCGTTTCAGCTGGAAACGACAATTCCATTTCGAAAGCAACCAATTTTATTGGCTTTTAGTACTAAACATCCGCAGAACCACCATTTGTCCAAGCATGATGACAAAACAGCTGTTGTGTTTGATTTTTCTTCAGGTGCAAAATCAGATGAGCCATTTTATTATAATTTTGATTTATTGTTCCACAAAAGCCAGCGATATTTCCAACCTTGTCGGCTAAGTTTTTTTTAAAACGAAATTTCCACTGTAATTTCTTTCAACAAAAAATAAAACACTTCAGTGAACCACATTTTACTACAAAATAATTGAAGTTAATTCAAACAAGTCCATTTTTTTCATCCCAAAATCGATACAGATGCCTTTTTTCATAGGACTTGATGTAATCTACGTAGCATATACTATGATAAAAACTTGACAATTATACTTCTTGCAGGTTCTACTGGTCCCGTATCTAATGGGTTAATTAAGATGAGGAAAAGCCACGGAATAGTGGGTATAATAGGGTGGGGTCTAATCCTTCCTGTGGGAGCAATTATTGCAAGGTACTTCAGGCATAAGGATCCCCTATGGTTCTATCTCCACTCAATCATTCAATTTGTGGGCTTTGCATTTGGTCTTGGCACAGTCCTTCTTGGATTACAACTTTATAGCAAAATGCATGTCCACATACCAGCTCATAGAGGCATAGGCATCTTTGTCCTTGTGCTAAGTATTCTTCAGGTCTACCACTGACTCTTATAATACTCTGTCCACATACTAAGTACAACTTTAAATGACTTAAAAGCTAGATAATTTTAGATATATGCGTTCTATATAATTTTAAGTGCAATTTTGAACTGACATTTAAAGCTATGTGAGTTCAGATATTGGCATTCTTCTTGAGGCCAAACAAGGATTCCAAGATTCGAAACCTTTGGAATTTGTACCATGGTTGGTTTGGAAGAATGGCACTTTTTTTTGCAGCCTTGAACATAGTGTTGGGGATCCAAGCTGCAGGAGCAGGGAATGATTGGAAGGGAGGCTATGGATTCCTCGTTAGCATCATACTTATTGCAGTTATCGTTCTGGAAGTATTGGCATATTTGAAAAGGTCAGAGAAGCGTTCTCTTCCTTCCACTTTCCAAATGGACTCAGTTGGGGAAGCTACCTTTCCTAGTAATCTACCTAAAGGTACATATTCCCTTGTTTGATATTCATCTGTTTACTGAAACTTCTGTTGAAGAAGGAACATATTAATTCAATGTATCATATACCACTTTGATGAAACAGGTTAAATGTGTCGGCTCCTAGTTTTGCACTCGTACAAGAAGTGTCAGTTGTCTCATTCACCAGTTCAAACTAAACCTCGTCCTCCTGCATGTGAACTGAATTGTGGAGCTTTCTTGATGTAGATATGTGGTCAGCTAGAAGTTTGCTAAGATGGACAACCCTAACGTTTGGCTTCCTCACTTGAACTTTTTTGCTTTCTTCATTGGGTTTCCTCAGCTGCTTAATCAGGAATGTAATGCCTGCGTTTGCATCTATATTTTGTTGTTTTATAAAATGTGATGAAATTTGAGGATTGGATCGGGGGGTGATCATGTGTGGATTAAATGAGCACTTTTGTGGCACCGAATATTGATCTTGTTAGAAATAGGTAACCCTTCTTCATGACATTGATCTTCCAAGAAGGGCTTGCAATAGTCCTTTGAAATTGACTGAAACACAGAGCCGTACACGTCAAAATCTAAAGGCATACAATCTTCTAGTCCCTAGAGATTGACAACGTTGTTGCGTACCCATGGCAATCAGTAGGTCGATATATTGTTCAGCATGCAAAAATCAATGCCAAGTAAGCGTAATTCCTCAACCTCTTTATACGGAAAATAAAAGTTTTAAGTTTTATTCACAGATATAAATCAAAATAATTCTTGCTGTTTAAGTTCGCTTGTTCCGTAAAATGTAATTTTGAGATACCTAGTTTTCTTGTTATATTTGAACTGTAGAAGCAATGTTTCATAATTTTTTAAATTGTACACAGTAAGTGCACGAAGATAGATGAAATCTGCGCATGCATACACTAACTGACGTCAGATAAGAGTTCAAACTTTTGGGTTTTTGTATCCAAAAACACGATCTTCATGGATATGTTCTATCACATGATTTCAATTGTAACAATCAAATATCAAATCAAACACCAAAAGAAAACCACTAAAACACAGCAAAATATTAAGAAAGAAAGTATATACTAATGAACCAAAATAATTTAAAAGGCCATTGGCAATGATGTAACAAAGAAAAAAATTAGAAACGATCTTTGATCCTTCAGTATATCAAAATTGATCTAACTACATAATGAACCAAGGTTGTCACCTCCAAGGCGCTCCTGAAACCCCAAAACACTAGCAACAATCCTGCAACCTGAACATGATTATTAGCATTTGTTCTACAGCAACTCCAATATGATTTTAATTCACAAGAACATTTCCACGCCCTAACTAGTCAACAAATAATGTGCCCCAGTGCATTCTAGATGATATAAAACCGTGACTTGTTCGAACAGAGGAATCAATAAAACAATACAGGTGAAGTACCTCAAATTGAGAAAGTATCACATCCTCCGTCTTCAAGAAAAAAAATCTGTAAGGTCAGATCTGATTTCCGTGATGAAAAGGCATTATTGATTCAACTAAAGTTACTTCAAACAAGGAATGATACATTCTTTTTTATGAGAGCATGTTTTGTTTGGGGGTATGAGCCACAATGAATAAAGTATACAACGTTATCTTCCCTCACCAAAAGTTTAACTTCTGCAAAATTAAAGGCTTAGGAAATAGAATATCAGTCTGAATCTTCCCAAAAGGCAAGAAGCCATACCACATGGCTACCTGCAGGGAAATTGTAATCGAGTTCCAGAAATAATCAAAATATTGCATCTCCTTTTGCATGTGAAATTATGAGGTATCTCCTTTATCAGCATTAATTATGCTACATTTCATCAGTAACAACAAAGAATAGTGGTTTAAGCAGTAGCTGTACAATCTTTTCTAGAAGACAAGTTGATGGATTTGGGAGCATCACTTCCTCTGACTACGCGGTTATAAATAACTTTAAATGACTGCGAGCCATTAGGTTTAGTTAGCAAACTTATTGGCATTCTTAGCGTCTGCTTTCGGTTTCTTCTTCCCCTAATCAAAATGCTTAAGGTTTTCTCACCATCCATGTTCTTTTCACTTCTGCTAGTGTTGTTATTCAAACCAATGTTATGATTTGATTTGATCTCAGCATTTTCAGACTCATGAAAATTAGGGTTACCATTTTCCTTTACACTTTCTGAATGAACTCTACTCACTTCATCTTCACTGGTCTCTGATTCTAAGGCTTCCACCTGTTTCTTAATTTCAATGACATTACTAATGCCCTCTGGCAGAACAAAAGCTGAACTTGAATTTTTAGAAACATGACACTGTTTTTGTGGCTCCAAAATGGGATCAGGGATTGGTTTGATGACAGGTGCTGGAAGAGGGAATTCCACAGGACAACAACCAGGCCAGACAGCATTGGGACCAAAATTAGATACAGTTGGGTTCATACCACATTGCCATGTGAACTGATTGACATGAAATGCACTGGTAGTTACTGGAAAGTTGTTAGATGGTATTGATTGAGGTTGGGTATAAGGAGGATAGATAAATGGCAATGGCTGTATCATATTTGGTGATGGTGGAGGTGATGGGTATGCATGGTGAGGCGAGGAACACATTGGGGTAACTGCAGGTAACACTGTAGCAGGTCCATGGTGAACATTCATATTTAATGGCCAGGGGCCAATCGGTGGAACAGCACCAGCAGCAGAAGGAAGAGTTGTATTCACAGCAACTGGTGCAGCACGTGCAATGCCTGGTGACGGGTTGAATGGAGCTGCAGATGCAGATAACTTCTTACATGGGATGCCCTGGGCATCACCCTGATTTGACGTAGATACACTAACTCTTAAATCTTCACCTTCTTGTGAGATGGCATTTGTATGAATGGGGAATTCAAAACAGTCAGAGCTACTTGTGTCAAGTTCTAGTTTGTGAGAATCCACAGGATCCTCCGCTGGATCAATCATTAAAATATTATTACTTGCTTCATGAACCTCAACATCCACAGATTCAACCCCCTTATCACTCTCAAAATTGTCTTGCACAGCATCAGTAAACTGCATCTCTTTCTTCTCAGAAACTATACTATCTTGTGAATCATCAACAGAATCTGGAAAAGAATCATTGTCCTTTTCATTTAATGTATCGCTAACCTCTTCTAGGGTTGGGTAAGCATTTGCATATGCTTTATTATCTTCCTCTCCATGTTTTCCTACATCATATTCATGGCTAACAGGAATCTCGTTTTGAGTATTATAGACTTGCAACTTGGAAATTGTCCCAGGAGGAGCCACTGCTACTTCCTTGTATGAAGGAGATTTCCAAAGACTAACTATAGAAGTCTTTACTGGATTGATATCATTCTGTGACAAATCTGACCCATGTTGTGAATAAGAACTGTATAGTTTGTCACCAACTTCTGATGGATCCTTTGCAGTAATCTTATCAGATGCAGACATGGACTTGACCTTGTATGTAACAGCTTTGACCACTTTCCTTCCAAATTTAGTACCTTGGGATTTGCTTACAGTATAATTATCTGCATAAACCCCATGGGATATTGTTCTCTTCTTCACAAAGTAATACCTATTGTTCTGATCACTACTCCTTACACATGGATAGTCTATGTCAGACTCAACGTTCTTCTTCTGATAATAAACTTTGCCAATTGTTGCCCTTCGCTGCTTCAGTCGCTGGCCATTTGAACCAGATGATCTTGGCCGCTGAACTGGTTGCCATCCATCCTCTCCATCAGCATGTGCTTCAGATGAGATTTCACCTGAAATTTGTTGCTCTTCATTGGAGGTTTTTTCTAAAATCGGATGTTCTGAATCAGATGCTGATTTGGTCTCCAGCTCAGCATCTGCATTATCACCTGGTCCAGGTATAAGTACTTCTTCATCTGAAGCCTCTCTTGAACTTTCTTTTGAAGACTCGTCAGAAGTTGCTGAGCCAACATTCTGGCCAGATTCCATCCTTACCTGTCAAATAATTAATTTTTTTATTATATTATATAGGATGAAGATGCATACAAGAGGCAGCAAAAGTAGGTATTACTGCAATTATTTAAAATGTTGAACCTTCATGAAGTAACGGTTCATTGGTCAAGGCTAAAAAAAGTGGTGCCATTAGGTATCTGATTTCTCTATTGCAGTTTCTCATTCTAACTATAGACTGAATTTCCTGAAGCTTATTCCACGTTTTTTGGTTTTTATATCTTAGAGCATTGTAAAGAATTTAGAAGGGTTAAAATTATTAAGAACAGTAAATCTGCATCATACCTTTGTTATTTGGCTTCTTCTCTTTACAGCAACATCTCTCCCTTTAGGATCATGATTAGGATTAATGTAGTCCAGCAAATCCGACACACTGAAGAATTCCAAGGGAATATAAGAAATCAGCATAATATTTTATGCCAGAATGTATAATAGATATATAACATTTACAGGCATTCTAAATTTGGACAAGTCAACAGGAAGTTATGACACTTTACAGATCACATATGCTAGATATTTTGGACAGGAGTTTGTGACATAAATAGATCAGAATCTGAAACACAAAACTTCAAAAAACACCTGGACACTTCAAATTTTGCTCTGTTAGTGTCCAGGCCCATATCACAACCTACGTCCATGTGAGAGTCTAATTGTCAATGCTGTTTTAGAATTGGCATTAAATGATCGTTGTCCATGATTTCAAGCATCATAAAGAAGAAAGTTCATTATAAATCAACAAAATTGGGTAAGTTCCCACAGGCCATAAGAATAGCAAGAGAACAATAAAATGTATTTGCAATCATTGACAAGAAACATCAAATAGTTCCCAATAAAAATAAATATTACAATCTCCAAATAAAAACTTAACAAAATTTCTCCTATGAGTAGGGGAGGAGAGGAAATGGGTTACCTCAAGTAGATTTAACCTATGTCCCAAATCTAAGGCCTAAGCCTACCCTATCACATGACTAGGTCTTTCTTTAAGGTCTGACCTGACCATTTCAAAAGCTGAGTCTAGCCTAAAAATCTATTTAAAAGCCTAATTAGTAGCAAGTCCTTTTAAACAATCAAGCAAACCTACCTCTAAATAAGCTAATGGACCTAAGTTATGTAGGGTAACAATCCTTTAAATAGACCAACAAATAATAATCTTGAAAAATTTATAATAAAGATTTCATACAATAATAATAATATTATTATATTATTTATATTTACTTAAATAGATCAGATTGTTAGGCCTAAAAAGCTTTTTGAATGGCCTAAAGCCTAACCTTTTAATTAAAATGGTTTTTAAAAATGCTTTAACATAACTTGTTTTATAAACAGGCTTGGCCTAGGCCTAACGCAGGCTAGACCACAAGGCTTATTTCCATCCTTACCTATGAGGTTCATCAAAAGATACCTATACATGAGTAATAATAGCTAATAAAGAAACAGATCCAAATGGCCAAGGACAATTCCACTATACCTTAGGTGGCCTTTGCTAGCAATTGATGTATCAGGCTTTCGAGTACCATTTCGCGCAGCTTCTTGCTGTTCAAAAGCCTTGGACTCAAAATACTCAAGCCAAGCAGCAGCATCCTGTGGCATTTATCACAAAACTTTAGATTATACCAAACTGTAAAAATTCTTTCTGAGACCATTAACAAATATATGTTTGATGAAAATGACAATGAAAGAGATTATAATGGTGATGCAAACTATTCAAACACAATCTTGCCACATCATTTAAGACTTCAATCTACCAACAATACATCAACAAAATTGTGTTGAATTATGTTTGTTATTTCCTCATCTTCTGAATCATTAGGAGTTTACAGCACATTGAACATACTTAGATGTGACAGTATACCTGTGTTCGCAAGTCATCTGGACCAAGTTTTGCCCGCAGAATTCTTAAAGTTGTTTGCTCATGCTGCACACTCAAAGGATATGCTTCCATCAATGAGAGTGCTATTGCTATTGCATGATAACTTGCAGCCGTCTGCACAGATTCAAAATCCAAGAAATATACAGATTAGAAAGCAAAAATGAGAAGTGCTATAAGTTTGGCATTTCTGATGAATTTATATAATTACAGTATGCGCAGGAACTAACCTATATACAGAATATTTGAAGAATTTCCAAAGGTTTCAATCTCATTAACAGAGCCCAAGTTATATTTTTACATTTCATGCAAAATTCAATTGAGAATTCAAGTAAAACATTGTAAATGAAGGATCGCTCAAAATTAATCAAACTTGGCAAAAGCAAGAAGTAAAACCTGAATATGATCTGGACCAAGTAACCTTTGGTTGCACTTTAAAGCTTTGTGAAGATATCTGAGAGCAACATGTACATTTCCTAGACCTTCCTCCATCATAGCCACATTAATGTATGTTGCAGCAGTGTTGGGATGAGATGGGCCACAGGTTAGATGCAGAAGATATAAAGCACGCTTTACATACCTGATTGATAACATTTGTAGAGCCAATTAGAAAACAAATGAAATAAATCAGCACAAAAATTAAAACAATTCATCGACACTCAAAAAACTTGAGAGCCATATTCACTATTTCTGCAATGGTTATCATTAATTTTGTGCTGTTAAGAAAAACAGACTAGCTAATCTGGCTAGATAAACCACAAGAAGTATCAAGTCCTCTCCTTTCTTTGTAATCCCTTTTTACCCAACTAATAAATTATTATTTTCAATTAAAAAAATTAACAGTTAGTCATCATGTCAGGTCAAAAAACCAAACTGAATTTTAATTATGAAAAATCCATGTACACTTATACATCATCACTGTATTACACAAGAATAAAACTTACTTCAGAGCCAGCTCTGTGTGTTGAAGTCGGTAGTAGAAAACTGCAAGATCCCCATAACTCTTCATAGTATCTGGATGATCCAGACCAAGCTCTCTCTCATTAATATCCAGAGCTTTCTGTTGATAAATTGTAGCCTGTGATTGGAGCAAACAACTCAATGATGTGAAATTGAATTTGAAAACCAAATAAATAGAGTATATTAGATATTTTAACAGAAATATGTTGAACTGTAGCCAATAAATAAGTGAATCTCTCACAAAATCACAATTGATCGAATGTTATGTGCTTGACTGTATATGCCATAGAGGTGACAAAACCTACTTTGGTTTTGAATGCAACATACTGCTGAAAACTAAATCCGAATGTCAACAAACAAGACCTGATTGAAGTCTCCGGTGTGATATAAAACTACAGCAAGTAAACTGTATGCTCCCGCTGTCATCCGATGATAGGGGCCACAAACTGCTACAAGCTTGGCAAGAGCCTGTCACCAACAAATTGTTGCAGTCATCATCCAGCAGTACCAAAAGGCACTTGCTATTGAAGCAGATTATCAGAATTTCATACAATCTCCAACAAAGGGCTTTGAAGATAGATACCTTTGTCCCATAGGTAACTGCATTTTCAAGCTTTCCTTTGTCTAAAGCTGTTTTTGATGACTCTAAGAGCTGTCTTCCATCTGCAGATGAGCATGCTGCTTGCTGCAAAGGATTAGAATGTGCATTAGATACAAAGCTTGGGTACATCAACAAATTTCAAGAGATTAAACAAGAGACCTTTCAATCATATGGTCTTCTTGTCTTGTCTATTACCTTGTAAACCGGGACCAAGCTAACAATATCAGATTTGTGAAAGGGAATTGGAGAATCCATATCAAAATCCCTTGGAACAAGCTCAATGCCAACCTAACATAGAAGGTAATGGTAAGAAACAATTGTCAATGAAAAACAACTTAATGGCATTGTCAATGAAACCATAATAACTACAATATATTGACTAATTCAAGTTGGTACATGTGTACATATTGTACCTATACATGTGCATATGGGAAAATCATTGTGTACATCTTTTATGAGCATAACAACACCGGCACCACCACAACAACCAAGTCCTATTCTCCTTTCTAGTCTCCCTCAACCACTCTTTAGAAGGGCATCATTTTTTTATTTCACCATTTTACAAGCAAATAATAATAGTAGTGGTAGTAAAAGATACAACATATCTTAGACAACCTAAAAGTCATAAATTTCCGCATGGGAGTTCTTGCAGATGAAGGGAAAGAGTGAAGGAGGAAAGCTGGTTTGCTGAATTCATAACAATGGTTAGGTTATGCTATCAAAAAACAATACTTTCTTATGCCAATTCTATAGCCACTTCCAGTACCTTATGACATAAGCCACGTAAAATTGCAAACTTCCTCACATCATTATTATTCAAGCTACTAAGATCCCAATCAAATCGTTTCTTCAGAAACATCTCAAGCCATTTCCATACAATGGGGTGCATTTTACTTGATTTATCTAATTCTCTATTTTCAGGAACACCGAGCAGCAAATTTAATGCACCAGCAATGGATGTGGCCATTTTCTCCTTGTCAACAATAGCAATCACTGCCTGCAGGATGTGCTTGAAAGCCCGAACTATCATCTCATTAATACAAAGTGATTGTACATGTGATAGCTTTTCCGAAAGCTTGACCTATAAAGAAATATAAGAGGCAAAAGTCATGCAACATGGAAAAACCTATGTAAATATTAAACTTAAGAAACAAAACCCTTCTTATTTTGGCCATTGTACTTAAAACGCTCAAAAAGAAAGGTGACAGACAGTACAAGTGTAAGAGAAGGATGACAAATACAAGAGTAAGAAATTTGATTGCGAAACATATTTTGTAGTCAATTTTCAGAGCTAGAGTAGTAATTATATTATGCAAGATTATCATATACTTACAAACGTCATGTCATGAATTGAGACTGTAGAAGAATTTTCAAAATGCAAAATATATTCAATGTAAAAAGGATATCTGAAGAGCTTCTTTTCACAGATATCATTATTTATTACGATATTACAACTACACAAAGTACGAAGACAAGTTTAGGGCAGCACTGACAACATGTCCAAGAGAACGCATACGTAGACCCCTTGTATGCATAAAATCAGTTAAGGTACGTCCATCAACGGGAGAGAGTTCCAATGAGCCAAAATCTGCTACCTGTATTGCGTAAAATTAATACTAGAATTGGAATGGTCATAATCTTATCAACTGGAATGAATTTAAGACAACTAGATAAATAAAATCCTATCATTACCAGCTTTGGAAGAGCAACGTCCATGTAATATTTCTGAGACAAGTCAATCAGATCTTGCATTGACTGATAATAACATGACATAATTTAGGTCAGATGCTTGATGTAATAGTCTGGATAGTTTGGTTCAAATACTGGAAAGTAGGGAGATACTTTGTTAGACCAAGAAGAAATTACCTTGCAGTGAAGTGCAGTTCCTGTTTCTTTTAACCCAGTGAAAGCTTCTTCAGATAACATACCCTTCAGCACAAGCTCATCTTCTGCTGCTGTTGTTTCATGCTTCAATTCTACTGAGGGAAATGGAGCACTTTCAGGCTCTCCACTAACAAATACCAGATGAGATTTGGTGTTTTCAGATGCCAATGTCACATTACTTAGATCAGATTTATTTTTATTATTCTTGAGAGCTTTAAGGGGTTTTCCCAGCCCCTCAACTTTCATTTCATTTTTAGCCTTATCCAAAGATGGTTTCTTATCTTTTTCTGTATTGTTTTGGTCTTGTAAATGTTGTATCCAGCATGCTCCCAGTTCCCATCTTATGAAATTGTCCAAGCCATGTTCCTCTTCCTCAAGCTTAGCAAGGCTTTCTTTAATAAGCCTCTCCACTAAAGCATGAGAAACTCCAAGCTCTTCACTCTCTGGGATTTGCATCTGAGTCATTGGTCTATTCTTCTCTGACTGTGTTGAGTTGAGAAGTAGTCTCAAACTGCAAAAAAAACAATAAATAATTACAGACTCAAATATCTTGTGATGAATGAGAATTAAATCAAGGAATCAACCATAGAAAGCCACAACAGGAGTTGTAAAATAAAGAAAAAGGTACCAATATCTACAACCAGAACAAGTTCATTAGTTCAAAATTTCATCAAAAGATACACCCAAATCAAACTTCAAAAGCACATTCTACATACAGTGGCAAAACTTTAAAAAAAATGAATTAGATTCAAATTTTACACCATCTTGTTTAAGAAAAAACACCAAAATCATGGTTAGATCTCATGCACAAACATATTGCTTACTCATGCTGTGGCTCGAGCTAATAAAATTAAAAGTAGTAATACATGATGAGTACATGAGTAATACAAAAACTACTGTAACATTGAATGGTTCAGGAATACCTGTTAATGTTGAGTGCATTGGCACCACCCTCTGGCTGATCAAACAATTCAGTACTCTGATAAGATGAAAAGTTGACATTTTCATTTTCTCCACCCTCAACTTTCACAATAACCACATAACCACAATATCTTACATTAATAATACCTAAAGTGCTAATATCCTGCACACAATGCGAAACATTTATCAGTTACATGAGGGAAAAGAAACAGCACTAAAGCACAACTTTAACCAGTCTTTTTTCTGTGTAATATTTATCGTACATGGGCTGCAGTATTCTCATCAGCGGTAATTCCTTTCAGCAGATTTCTCTCTATTAGATCCTTTTTATTTACTCCAGTAGCTTCAACTCCATCAATTTTGGTATCAACTTTACAGTTGGCAACAGAAGCATCTTTCCAGACTCTAATATTCAAGTCACCTACTCTCTCAGAGTAAAGGATACTATTTTCTGCAACTGAGAAGCTTAAATCAGGTTCTCCCATAACATGTTTAACAGCCCCAACCGCTTGGAAGATGGCAACATCAACAAATAGAGTGTGAAGAAGGAATGCTTTTCTATCACGAACTTGTCTTTCTTCTGCTGTTTTGCAAGGCATAGATGCAATAAATGAAAACTCACTGGCCCAAGGAATCAAATCAAATTGTCCATCCCTTCCTCGACCACCACCATTTCCTCCCCAAATTTCATCCTCCACCGGCAGGGGAGGGAAAACTGATGTTGAGTGCGCTGCAACTGGAGGAACAAGCCATGTGTTGGCTCTGAATCCATAAGGGAGATTCCCAAACTGAAGAGGCGAAAGCAAAAGGGAAACAACAGAACACAAATAAGCACAAAGTCGATCACTCAGAGAGCCAACAGAAGTCATTCTTTCACTATTTATAGTAAGTTACACATTATGAATAAGAAAAAAAACAAAGTAAAAGTTGCTCAGCACCTTGTTACGTTCTGAAAATGCTTTCAAAAGATCGTCATAAGCCTGAAAATTGAGAAACAAAATTGTAAAACTAAACGAAGTTACAACTAACCTAAACACTGACCAAGCAAACATTTACGTAGTGGTAAGAACACTGACGGTATCAAAAGCTCTACCAAGCCGTCTTAACAAATCAACAAGGTTATGATTAAAAATCCTCTGCTTTCCAACACTGTAAAATCCCTTTCTGCAAGCTTCAACGTGCACCACTTTCCCATTGCATAGCTTCACCTGAGCACAAACGAAGATATCTCGTCATTTCTCGCTCCAAAATGAAACAACAATTATCAATGCAAAGCGTAAAAATATTTACATCAAAGGAGAAGAGATGATCCGCCTCTGATATCTCCGGAACCTGTCGTTTCACTGTCTTCTTGATATCTGTGCAAACTCGTCAGTTTCAGACACAGAAACGCAGAGAAGAAATTCAGAGTAAGAGAAAGAGGATTGTACATTGGAGAGGAGGAGTGAGATGCGAAAGAGAGAAGAACTCGTAGAAGCTCCCGAGCCTAGGACACGAGTGGCTTATCTCGCTGTCTCCGTCAACCACCTCCGTCGCCGCCGTTTGAGAGTTGCCATTCTTCGCCGCCGGCGAGTGGCCCAAGTTCGTGGCGCAGGCCACGATATCCAGTAGCCGTCTGACGTGGGCCACCGCTCTATCTTCGTCATAATCCTCTGCCACGTGCCAAATGAGCACGACGTCGTAAAGTTAATTTTTTTAAATAATTTATTGATTATATTTTTAAAAATTGAAAAAATACCTTCGTTCAGTGTGAGGACGCATGGCTTCAGTGCGAACACGTCCACCGGGTCCTTCAATTGTTGCCCTCTAACCTTTTTTTTTTTTTTAGTTACATAGCAAAGCCTTGGTTATGAAACGTGGAGATTATAATAACAAAACATGATTGCAGCAAACTTACACAACTCCTCACGCGAAAATTAAATTAAAAGAGATCATATTTTTCGTTGGAGAAAATGACATTTTTTATATTAAGTGTTTTAATAATTTTGCGATACTAATCAGTCGGATTTTTTTTTTATCAATGTGTATTTCTGTATTTTGAATAAATGTAGGAATCCTTTAGTTTGTATTTTTTAAGAAAAAAATCATTATAATTAGAAGTCATTAAAAAATTAAGTATAAAATTACATATGCAATGCAATGAACGTGACTCAGAAACCCGGGTTTCTTTATTATTATTATGTTTTTATTTTTGTGTGTGTCCGTAACTTCGTTTCTTTTTATATATGATGGTGATAGCTGCATTTAAATTTAGTTGACAGAGCAACATGTCCTTCTTCCAATTTATTATTAAGTGTGATGTTGAATAAATTCTTTAAAAAATATGGATATGATTTTTTTAAAAATAAATCAAAAATATCTTTAACTTTCTAATAAATTAATATTTTTTAGTTTAAAAATACTTATTTAGTTATAATTTTAAAAGATATTTTAGTTTTAAAACAATTTTAAAAAAACACGAGCAAAACTCTGATTATGATCAATAATAAATTTGCAAGTCAATCCCCTCCCCCCTCCCCCAAAATAAATAAATAATGGTCCACCTATATTACATTCTCCTACATATGACATGTGATGTCATTATTCAGATCTTCGCGAGGCCACCGTCCACGTTGAATTCCTGAGAAACATGTCGCTTGACGCTGTACAGTTTTCATTTTCCAAAGATGATGCATACTTATATTGGAATTAGTTGTGGTGCATAAATATTTATAAATTGACACTGTGTATAGTATTAAGTATTATTATTATTATTGTAAAAACAAATACTAAAATATGTTTCACTTTAAATGTAAAAAAAAAAATATCCTTATAAAATCCATGATCAGTACGGCCGTCCGTCTCCTTGGTATATCTCTATCTCATTTCAGCTAATTTACGATGCTTTTAATTTTTTAATATTAAAAAAAAGGAAAGAAATTCAAAGCTCCATGGCAACAATAAATGATTAAAATTAAAGGTACTAACATTATTACCTCGTGTGATAGGGAAAAATTGGTGATATGACAGGTCTCCACATTCACCGATAAAAGCCGACGAATATCTATTATTCTGTCCGTTGATATACCCTGCTTCACAAAATTTGTCAATCGTTTACAACTCGTATTTTGCACCATTTTACAAGAAAAAAAAGTAATAATAAAGTGATGAAAGCTACGTGAGGGATCCTAGATTCATATCAATTACTTATACGCTAAAGACGATAGACTCGGAAGTATAAGAATCAAAATGTAATTTTGGTTTCCATGAAACAGAATTTTCCACACTTTGTCAATACATTAAACGGGTCATCTTCAAAATAACATTTTACTACCTCACGCTTCTACTCGAGGCATAAACTAACATGTGCACGGCAACTGTGAGATACAAATAATAAGCCAAAAAAAGGTAGGTGTTTGGATCGAAAACATTGGTTTATAACTTTGGATGGTTGTTTAGCCTCGCGATAGAGTTGATCAAGTTATAGCTGACACAATTACTAAAACTAATAACAAATTTCAAATAAGTAAGTGAGCTAATAGTTGACACTCCTAATTGGGTTTATAATAATAATGTGAGATATAAAGTTCAGCACTAATGGGATCGATTCTGCTAAAGATGCCCATCACTATCGCGACAGAAAAAGACAGAATGGTTGCCAATAGTCCATACACCAAAATAAAAATTACCAGACATGACAAATATAGCAAACTAAACCTTCTATTAATTATAATCTGTCCACAAATAAAATAAACAAACCTTGAGAATAACATGAGTTCCATCAGAGAGGTTCACAGTGATATCCATTACAACCGGAAGAACTGCGTAATTTCAAGAACAAACTGTTAAATTAACCCAATATGGTTTCAAGATTGGCGCTTATGTAATATGCAATAATTAAGAGCAATTTAATACGGAACTTATATAACTTATGTTATCATATAAACACTTAAGTGTCTGATTAAACTCACGAATATAACAAACATTATCACAATACATATTAAATAATTACTTAATTAAACTGAACACTCGGAGGTCCCAAGATAGGATAAGAATATCGTTACCCTTTTCTTCCTTCTTCTTCTTCTCTCCCTTGCCTTTGCCACGACTGTTTCTTGGTGCCATTTTCGACCTCTTTGAAATTGAAAAGAAAAGTGAACTCGATGCTTCCTGCACTGTATATATACGCAGTACTATAACAAGTCAGATTATATTGAGTGAGATTCGAGAATTATAATACTTTCTATTTCCGAACATAATCCATCAATAGTTTCTTATCTGCATAATTAGTATTACAAAGCGAGAGAAAACTAAGCTTGTTTTTTGTCATTAACACAGTTGAGCACAAGAAAGAGGGAAAGAAGAATGAGGAAAAGAAATGCAGAGAAATTAAGCTTGTATTGGGCAGAGAAGTGAAGACGAATGAGGAAAATATCTGGTAATGAGAAACGAACCAATAGAAGTGCAGGAGTTATTGAAATTGTTGTGAAAGTAGTGATGATGAAACGGATAGGTGGAAGCTATAAATGAGTGTGAACTGTGAAGTGGTGTTTCGGAGGAAAAAAAATGGAGGAGGCAAGCAAAGATATAGAGGGAAGGGAAGGAAAGGAAGTCTAGTGTAGTGTGATAAGGAAGGAAGGGCTCAGATTTAACGCTCAGAAATCAAATTTCATCTAAGCCATCAAAAGGATTCTACACCCTAATTCCAACTTGTTTCATTTTGATTTTTATTTTTTTACTTTAACTCAGTTGTAATTCAGCTTTTCTTTGTTTTATATATTTTCCTTTTTATTTTCGCATTCCCTGATAATGGATGCTGCAGCCTGCACTTGACGTTGTCAGTATTGTCTTCTTCATCCATTTAAACAAATCTTATCTATCGATTACTATACTGTGTGAAAAATAAGCTTATTCTTATTAATCCATTAATGTAAAAACTATATATTGTTAATTAATTAAAATACACGATTAATATAATTTTTAAACTAATTATTATAGAATGTAACAATTATCGTTGATATAATAAATAAAAAATTACAGCATCAATACATTTTAATTAAATTTATGAGCCAGTCAGTGGGATAACGAGTTTGTCCATCAAAATATATATATTGGTGGGCAAGGGGCAGGGAATTGGCACGCCTAACCACTTCTAACAACTGAAAAGTATTCAAGTTTTGAAAAATCCATAAAACTTGTAAATTTTATAAAAATAATGTTAAATTAATAACTTTAAACTAATAGTTAACTATAAATATTGTTAACTTTAAAAATATATATATATGTGAGTCTCCAGCGTTGATCCGAAATTTATTAGACTAAAAAATACTATTTTATCAACTCTACTTCTATCTTGCAATTTGTTACTTTTGTTTGCTGAACAATAAACAACTTTACACTGTATTTGGGTGAAATTTGTGAGTTAAGTATTTAATCTCTATATATCTCATCATTAATATGGTTATATCATTTGAAAAATAAACTTTATAGGTACAATTACAAGGACCAACTTAGGAAATATTAATCATTAATAAGAGTATAAATTCTTAAATAAAATTTTTTAATTATTGTTATTGTTATGTAAGAATGTTAAAGTCTTTGAAAACAAATTAATCAGGAAAAATTAGTATAAGAAAGTATTTATTTTTTTAAAATATCTATTCAAATCGATATTTATTAATTAATGAATATAAAAAAAGTTTTATTTTCTAATAGTCAGTTTTTGAAAAGAGAAGAGGATAAAAAGGTTTATATATTTAACCATCTTTTAAATTTTCAAATAAAATAAAGATAATCTATAAGTCCTTTTAATTCTATATTTTATAAGTTTCTTAATTTGAGATATTTTATATTTATTTTTTTACTTTTCTTTCTTTCTATACCCCTAAATAGAGCTAAAAAAATGTTATATTCTACTATTTTTTAATGCTTTGTTTAGATTTCATGTATAAAAGTAGAGTGAATAAAAAAGTTAGTAATCCCTTTATTTGAAAAATAATTAAATATGAAGAGAAAAGTATGTATTTTTATAAACTTTAAAACCTTTTTAAGTTTTTTCACTTTTTAGTGTTTCAGTGACTAATATAGTGAAATTTATATTTATTAAATACAATATTTAGCATGGCTTAAAGTAGAATAAAAAGATATTTAAAAAAAAAATATCTTTAGAGTATTTTTTAGATAAATATAAATATATAAAATTATTTTATAGAAATAACAAAATTATTTAATTTTTATATGTTTTGAAAAAAATAAAAATATATATAAATAAAAAATATAAAAAAAAGTAATAATATCAATTACCATCTCTTTTACTGTTAAACATCTAAGGTGAGAGTTTAACTTTCCTTCTTATATCTTTTTTTTTTTTTTTTCATAAAGCCTAAAAATCCCCGTAAAATTTTAAGTATTTTTAAATAAAAACATTTTGGGTTTTAAAACGTGAAAAACAAAACACGCCCACCGTGGGGCTCGAACCCACGACCACAAGGTTAAGAGCCTTGCGCTCTACCGACTGAGCTAGACGGGCTACTTATTAGGTCATAAATTTTACTCTACTAACTATAGACATATATTTGTCGCAGCAAATAGTAAACATGCTACGGGTAAAACAGAACATTTCACAAATAAGATGCAATTTACAAAACTAGTTCCAAAGGATCACTTCAAAATAAAAGTGTGTGTTAAATGTATTACGGCGATTAAATCTTTTATAATTTTATTTAACACACACTTTGAGCTGGTTCATTCTTACCTTGTACAAACATAAACTGTATTAAACTCAAAAGTTTTTTTAAAGATCCAGTTTTAATTTATTTTAAAACAACAAATTTGTTATTTTATTAAACAATAAATTCAGACAGTGAAATTAAACTTGATAAAAACAAATCTTTAAATATGTTATTTAGCATGAATTTGTTTTCTTGGTTTTAAATTCTTATTGAATATTTGGCAGTTATTACTCGGTACAATTTGGCTAAGCATGATGTAGTTGATCGGTATTTATCAAGAATAACTTTGATGTTAGGAATGATGTAGTTGTTAACAATAAAGAGAGAGAGAATTAGGAATGATAATTAGATTTGTAGTTGATGGGTATTTATAAGGATAATTTTGATGTTAGAAGAAAGGAATCCATTATAAAAAAAAGTTGAAGCATTTACTTATAACAAAATACATGAGAATTAACACAAGCACGAGTATAGTTACAAATTTTTACAAGGCTCACTTTATCTTGTCTATTCTTTTATTATTTATTATATTGAATTCAAGATTGAAAAAAACTATACTTATACAACAATATATATGAATTATGATATTTATAAACACTTTTTAAAAACATTCGATTTATAATAATTTTATTTATTTCTGATATAATTATCTTTTGTAGAAAACACATACAGCATTGAAAAAATAAATAAAAATATAATATATAACTAGCGATTGTAATATTTCTAATATAATATATTATTAGCGACTATAATATTTCTAATATTAAAATCTTAAAGTTTTATTTTGTAGTTTGAAAAGAAAAAGAATAAATGGTTTAAAAAGCAAGGGAAAACAAAAGAATAAAGGATGAAAAGACATCAATATAAAGTCTCTCAAATTTAAAGAACTTAAAAATATAGAATTAAAATAGTTTTAGAGTGTTTATAAACATTTTTTTCATTTAAATATCTTCAAATATAGATAGACATTACAACTATTTTTTTTTATTATTTTTTTACCTATAAAATCAAACTAAACAAATTTAAGTTACATTGTCCAAGTGTATTTAGAACCTTTTAAGTGGTCAGATATGACCGAGATGTATGGAATAAGAGGGTTAGACAATAGTAAAATAGAATAAAAGTATGATAATTTGTTATTATATCTAATATTTAATGCAAACTTAATATAAACAAAGACATAATATAAGTATGTAAGAAATGACAAAATAAAATATTTATTTTTAATTTATAGAAATTATTTAAATAATTTAATATATTTTTAAAAATATAAAAATAGAGAAGAGAAAAAAAAAAGAAGAAGAAAAAGAGAGATATAATATAATAAATGAAGAGTATTTTAAGAAAGAAAATTATTATCATTTCCTTTGTTTTTTAATTTAGATATTTATAAGATAACAATTGCCTACAACCATTTTGTAATTAGATTATGTAATGACATTTTATACACTAAGAATAAAGTTTTTTTCAGTAAAATAACTGTTATTATTTTTCTAATTTTCATAGTTAATTATTGTGTTGGAAAACCAACTGTTTTTCCTGTTTGTCAGAAATAAAAAAACGGTGACCAATTAAAATGCAAAAAATGTTTAATACAAGTGTATAAATACTCATAAAATATAGGGAAAAAAAGATACTAAAGTCACTTTTCTAGCGAGTATGAGTTTTCAAAAAAGTACTAAATCCAGTCATAAAATGAATATTATAATTTTATACTTTGGTCGTACTCTTATCATCTTAGACAGAACTTAAGTTCACATTTTTTTTTTTGTTTCTCTTGTTTAATTTTACTTCCATTCATTGTATTTGAATTGGGTATAAAAGTAAAATCGTACTGTGGTCTATGGCAAATAACAGAAAATGCCAACTAAGGACAGTGGCCACTACGGAATGTCTACAAACTCCAACGGGCAAACCGAGTGGGGCGGTAATTGGATTATGTAATAACATTCTCCACACTAAGAAAAGAGCTTTTTGAGTATAATAATAAAAAAATGTTATTTTACCCAACCATTTAATACTTCATTGGCTATTTTTCGGGTAATGTAATAACACACGTGCCCTATGGTAATTGAGGATGCTGTACCATTGCTGTAAAGTGCACCATTCCATTATATTTGCCATCAGTGTCTTATAGAAGGCAGTCATGTATCACCAAATGTGAATTATCATTACAACAATCTTATAGTATACTAAAAAAATGTCTTTCTACTTCTCAGAACCAGAATAATAACAATATTTTTATTGCAAAGGACTTGAAACTTATCTTTCAAATGAATTGTATTTTTAGTCTCCACTATGTCCGTGCTGGGCACTACGAGCATTGTACCATACCATCACACATGACGCATATATCCTAGCTAGAGCCAAGCATACTATATATAGAATTAAAAACATTAATTAGTGTGCAACAATTAAACAATGGTGCATATGCTCTAATACAAAAAAAAAAAAAAAAAAAAAAAAACAAATTAATATCCAGCAAAAGTTTTCCCTATCTGTCTGTTTCCGGTTCATCCCGAACCTTTACAATTATGGAACGAAAAAATAGGAGTCCAGAAAGTACCAATGGAAAAGGCCCACTACTAAGATTATTAGTTAATCAGCGATGTCCGGCAATACAGATAGGATTAGTTGAAATATAAATCAAAATAGCAGATTATTTTTTTCCCACGAAAGATAGCAAAAAAGAAAAGTTACAGTATTAATTAATTGATTTGTATAATATGTACATTAAGATTCTGATATTATTGTAATTTATTTTTTTATTGTTATAGCTGAATATCCATTGATGGTTTATTGTGTTGTTATCCACTTTACCAGTGAAGTTTGTATTTTGTGTTGATCTCTAGTG